AGCCCCACCTGTTGCTCCCACACAGTGAATTTCGAGGCTCATCAAAAACTTGGTGACATGATTCAGATTGATTTGACCTGGAGGGACATGGAGTGTGGCTGGGCTGGGGAGCAGCAAGAGGGGGAGGGGAGCGGGTGTGGCGTGGAAGGGGGAAAGGAAGATGAAAGGCAGCTGAAGCTGTACGTTGCCAAACCCCAAAGATGATTGGATTCGGGGTTAGAGACAATCAGGAAGTGCAAAAACTAGACCCTCATTCTTAACTATACCCCCAATAACATCAAAAAGCCTGCATCCTTTTCAACACTGAACTGAAGAGCCGACTTTTCAGTTGACTTGAAGTCACCTGAAATCGAATTACCAGTGAAGAAACCTGGTGTTTGAGACTCTGAGGGATGATCATGAGCGCATGTCGCACGTCCGTCACACCCCGGGTTTCCCACGCCTAAACCCCTAACCTCAGTCTCAGGCCCACCTCGAGTACTATGAAGGCTTCCCCAAACACCTTTTGAGGCATTCCGCCCTTCAAGCACGATGCTCAAGGGGTTGCGTTCCGCCCCGAGCTATGAGGCGCCACAAAATTAACCCCTAACCTCAGTCTCAGGCCCACCTCGAGTACTATGAAGTCTTACCCAAACACCTGTCAGGCCCATCAGTCTTTCTCATCGATGAAGAGAACAGGTGTTTTGGGAATGAGCATGAACAGTTCTTTCTCGAGAGCACACCACACGCCTGTCAGTCAAAGAACAGACAGACCCTAATCCCTAAGCTCTCATCCCTGCACCTTGAATGCTCTGTATGTCCTCTCACCGGTAAAGGGCACAGGCGTTTGGGGAAAGTTCATGAGAGCACGGTGCATGTCCGATACTCCAAACAGCTCCCATGTCTAGACCGCAGAACCCTGAGATTCTTCACCGCAGAGACCACAGGAGACCCTGTGCCTTTCCTCTCACCAGTGAAGAGCACGGGATTCTGAAGAATGATCATGCGAGCTTGAGTTGAGTGTGCAGCGCACGTCCGTCACTTGACAAAAGCTTCCATCCACAGGTGGAGAACCCAGTGGACCCATTAGATGGAAGCTTCAACAACATTAGATGGTTTGCATCTTCCTCACCAGTGAAGAGCACGGGCGTTTGGGGGATGATCATGAGCGCATGAGTGTGCCGTGCACGCCCCCATTACTTGAGGAAAACCAAAACCTCAGACTGAGCCTTTTCACCTTGGGAATCCCAAGCTTTTCTCACCAGTGAAGAGCACGGGCGTCTGGGGGATGATCATGAGCGCACGGCGCACGTCCGTCACTCCAAACAGCTTCAGATCCTGACCGTCGATGCAGATGCGCCCGCTCTCGATCTCGGCCAATCGGAAGAGTGAGTTGAACAGGGACGACTTGCCTGCAGAGACAAGGGCATGAGAAGGTGGGTCGCATGGGGTATGAGAGAGGTGGAGGAGTGGAATACGAATTTCTCCCCAGCAGGCCGACCTTCTCCCACCCCCCCCTCCCACCAACACAGTAAGACCCCCTCAGCACATATGCAGCGAAGAGACATACCCTCAGCCAAGGCAGCAAGCGACTCTCACGACACAGACATACCCTCTCACATGCGCCAGTCCTCCCCACCACGCCGACCTTCTCTCCACCCCGCACCAGGGCAGGTCCGGCCGGTACCGCATCACCACGTCCTCAAATAACTCCTCCCTTTCAGCATGAGACGAGCTGTCACATAAGCACAGTCACACTCTCTCACCTGCGCTAATGCGCCCCAACCAGCACAGAGAACCCCCACAGCAGGAAATGATTCTCCCTTAAACACTGACAGACTCTCACTCTCACCTGCCCCAGTGCGCCCCACCACTCCAACCTTCTCTCCTCCCTGCACCAGGGCACTGAGCCCTCTCAGCACGGGCGGCAGGTCCGGCCTGTACCGCATCACCACGTCCTCAAATAACACCTCCCCCTGCTGCGGCCACCCGGGCGGCGGGCGGTGGCTCGGAATGATGGCCGGCGCCTCGGCGGGGATGTCAGCGTAACTGCCCACCCGCTCCACCGCATTGAACGAGTTCTCTGAAGGAAACAAACGTGATAACGGGGGAATGGGGCCGAGAAAGGAGGGTGTAAGGAAGGGGGTGGTGGTGGGGGGAATTCATTGTAGGCACTTCGGGAGGGATGTCGGACTAGCTGCCAACCAGGGTGTTTTTGAGAATTCTCAAAAACACCCTGCAGCATCAGGGATGTTGGACTAGCTGCCAACCAGCTCCACCGCGTTGAACGAGTTCTCTGAAGGAAATAGAGGGTGATAAAGGGGGGGATGGGGAAGGGGAGGAGGGTGTGAGGAATGAGGTGGAGGAGGGGAATTAATTGTAGGAGCTTGGGAAGAGATGTCAGCGTAACTGCCAACCAGCTCCACCGCGTTGAAAGAGTTCTCTGAAAGAAAATAGGAGAATAATATAGTACGGGGGAAATGGGTTTGTCGGAGGAAAGGACAGGCAGAGGAGGAGCAGGGGAGGAGGGAGGGAGACTGTTGGCTCGGAATGATGGCGGACGATTCGGGGGCGAAGGGGCCCGGGAGAGGGGGAGAGGAAGAGGGGATGTGATCTCAGCGAGCAAAGGCTTCCCAGCGACAGAGAGCAGTCAGTCGGAGCACCATGGTCATCATGGCTGTTATGTTATGTGCTTTGAGTGTAAGCATCTACTCACATAGCCCCACACCAGCAGCACGCGAAGCAGCACTCACCAGCAACGGAGAGCAGTCTGAGCACCATGGTCTTCATGGGGGTGATTTGCAGTGCGCACGACTAAATCAGCCCCATGACTGGCGCCAATGCAACCCTAAGTGCCCCTGGCAATACTGACACCAGAATGAGGTCAGTGCCTTACCAGCGACGGAGAGCAGGCGCAGCACCATGGTCATCATGGCAGTGATTTGCAGCGCGTACGACAGAATGAGTCCCATCACCGGCGCCAGTGCTGCCTGGTCGCCCGCCCGCTGCACATCCATCACTGCAAACACCGCCGTGGCTGCAGGAGGGAAGCGAAAGGGGTCCAATGCGGTGGGGTTTGGTACAGTTGGATTGAAGGAGGGAGGTGCGATGTGAAAAAAGAGTCACAACACCGGCGCCAGTGCTGCCTGGTCGCCCGCCCGCTGCACATCCATCACTGCGAATACAGCCGTGGCTGGAAGGAGGATAGAAGGGTGCAATGCGGTGAAGTAAGGTGCAGTGGGATTGAGGGAGGGAGATGCGAGGAACTCAAGACAGAATGAGTCCCATCACCGGCGCCTGTGTGCCGACTCATCGCCCGACCTCGCCACATCCATAACTGCGAGTTCTGCTGTGGCTGTGGGGGAACAGAAGGGTGCAATGCGGTGGGGTTGGGCACAATGGGATAGAGGGAGGTACGATGCGGTGAAGCGAGATGTAAAGTAAACGCAATGTAGTGAGACTACGAGCCTGACTTTTAGATCCAGTGGTGAAGAAACAGAGAGGAAGGAAGGTCATGACGTTCATGTGAAGAAAGCAATGAAGGAAAAGAGGATACTCCTGAAGTTCAGGCATGCCCTGGACCACAAAAGGATGACCGAAGATCATGAGCCCGCCCAGGAATTCGAGGCGGAAGGCGAGAGCCAGCGGTTGGTGAATCACCTGAACCGAGGCAAACCCGGAACCCTGAACCCTGACCCTTGAACCCCTAACCGAGGTAACATATTACCCAAGATCATGACCCCCCCCAGGAACTCGAGGCGGATGGCGAGCCAGCGGTTGGCGCTCATGCTGACGAGTGTGAAGCGCGTGTTGCGGTCCACCGCGCGGCCATTCATCCCCGCCATGCGCGCCGCTGCCCTGTACGCCCTTATGGTTGCCAGCCCATTCAGTGCCTCCGCAAACTGATGGTGGGGTGGGAATCCATCCATGAGATGCGGGAAGATGGGGTGGGGGAAACCGGGGTGAGGAGGGAGAGGGGGGACCAGAATAAAGGGGGTTTTGGAGGTTGGGAGTTGGGGGTTGAAGGAGAGGTGTGAGTGTGTGTGTGAGTGTGGGTTGGCGCTCATGCTGACGAGTGTGAAGCGCGTGTTGCGGTCCACCGCCCGCCCGTTCATCCCCGCCATGCGCTGTGCTGCCCTGTACGCCCTTATGGTTGCTAGCCCGTTCAGTGCCTCCGCGAACTGAGAGGGGGCAAGGCGAAGCAGGAACCCCGAATTGGAGAGGAAAATGGAGTGGGAAAACCGGGGCAGGGGGGAGGGAAGGCCAGAAAGTGGCGGGATTTAGGGGAGGTATGTATGTGTATGGGTGGGTTGGCGCTCATGCTGACGAGTGTGAAGCGTGTGTTGCGGTCCACCGCCCGCCCGTTCATCCCCGCCATGCGCTGTGCTGCCCTGTACGCCCTTATGGTTGCCAGCCCGTTCAGTGCCTCCGCGAACTGAGAGGGGGGTGGGGTGGTGTGTGTGAGGAAGAAGAGGGGTGGGGGGAGGGGTTAGACAGCCCGCTCGTTCATCCCCGCCTTCCGCCCTGCTGCCCTGTATGCCCTAACGGTTACCAGCCCGTTCAGTTGCCTCGGTGAATTCAGAGAAAGGTCGGGGTGGGGTTCATGGGAGTAAAGGAGGAGAAAAACGATGGTATGCATGCACACAAATACGCGTGCGCACGCACACAGACACACACATTCACACCTGCGAGTACACAGGCGACCGAGTGACAGAGTCCCAGCGCTTGACCTCTCATGCCGTGCAGTCCTCAGGAAGTAGAGGTAGACGATATAGAAGAGCAGCAGCAGCGGCACGATGGCCACACAGGTGTGCTTCGAGTTATCCCAAGCCCTACTTGCACGCTAGCAGAAATCTACAGGAACCAGAAAGAGAGAAGCCACGTGTAAACAGAAGTGTTTTGAGACGTCTCAAAACACTTCTGTTTACACACAGGTGTGCTTCGAGTTATCCCAAGCCCTACTTGGCTGGAGGCATAGCAGGGTGTGCTTCTAGTCAGCCCAAAGCCCAAGCCGTACCTACCTGTGAGTAGACGGGAGAGCGCGTCACCGAGTCCCAGCGCTTGACTTCCCGTGCGGTGTTTTGGAAGTAGAGGTAGACGATATAGAAGAGCAGCAGCAGCGGCACGATGGCCCAGAGGGCGACGGTGTTGAGAACGCCGATGAGGGCGAAGGTGGAGAGCAGCTGGAAGATGCCGCCCAGGCACAGCGACGTGTACTGCGCGAGGTTTTTATCGATGTCGGCTGTATCTTTAGTGAAGCGGTTAATAAGACGACCCACCTGCAGGAAGGGGAGGGGAAAGAAGGGGTGGGTGTGGGGGAGGGGGGTATGCTGTTGAGGCAGAGAGAGACGTGTACTGTGCAGAATTCGTGTCTATGTCCGCTGTATAGTTCCACTCCACATCTGGGGTGGAGGGTAGAGGGGAGGGGCGAAGCGAATACACACTTCAGGCAGAACGAAGTGTACTGCTTGTGCCATTCTCTGCAGCAGCAGAACCACCACCGCCACCACCTATGCTATTAGCAGCTCAATTTATCAAGGGGACCAACCAATCCGCATAGCACAAATTGTTGGGAGAGGGGCAAAAGAGGGGAAAGAGAAACGCTAGCACCTGGGGAAAGAGGGCTGTTGCAGGGGCTGTTGCCGGTGCTGGTGTTGTTGCTGGCGTTGGTGCTGGAGCTAATGTCGGGCCTGATCCTGCTGCTGGGGCTGATGTAGGTGCTGTTGACAGTGGTGGTGTTGCTTCTGGGGTTGCTGGATTTGCTGCTGGTGCTAAGGCAGTTGCCGGTGCTGGTCTTACTGCTAGCGTTGGTGCTGGAGAAGATGTGCAATATCAGAGGAACGACTCACGGGGTTTGTGTGAAAGAAGGACATGGGGGCGCGGAGAATGGCCGCCAGCATGGCATCGTGCAGACGACGGGCCGCTCGCTGGGAGGAGAACACCTGCAAGGTGCGGGGGAGAGGAGAAAGAAGGAAGAAGCAGGTCAAGAAATGAGAGAGAGAGGAAAAAAAACAAAAAAGGCACACACAAACACAGACTGATGAAGCAGTGTCGAAAATAGTGGTTTTTTTTCAGAACATAAGTCATAAGGGTCGTCAACAAATCTCCTGCCACAAATATCAAAATTCAGTACAAGCATGGCTGGAAACCAGCAGGTGACACTTCTTCCCCGGCTGACTCATTGCTAGTATCAACCAACCAACCAATCAACCAATAAGCAGTGTGAACTCACGAGGAAGTATTGGTTGGCAAAGGTGAGCAGCACTTGGCCCAGCGAGATGAGCGAATACCCCGCCACGAAATACAGCGACCCATGCCCACCACCCTCCTCCTGAGAAACACTCCCCGTCCACACGCTGATCCACACGCTGGCCAGCACCCTGGCGGCCTCCACGAGCACGTAGAGCGAGATGAGCACCGCCAGCACGCCCGTCCCCCCCATGGCCCTCACATACCGCCACACCACCGCCGCGCTCACCACCCCCTGCGCCTTATCCTCTGTTTGGACTAGGGTCGTTCCCCCTGCCCCGCCTTTCTCCCCCTTCCCCGCTCCGCTCTTCTCCCCAGCCCGGTTGCTGCTGCGAGAATCGCCGTTCGCTGCTGCAGCAGAGTCACTGCCACCACCACCACCACTACTGCTGCTGCCAGCTGTTGCAGCTGCCGCTGCCGCTTCAGCGCTCGTCTCACCTCCACCACTGCCCGCGTCCCCTGCTGTTTCCCCTCCCTCCCCCCCCACCTCCGCGTCCCCGTGCTCCTCCAGCGCGCCTGCCTTCTCCAGCAGCCTCTGGAACTTGGGTGCCGACGCCTTCAGCTGCACATACGGCCCCTGCTCTGCTATGCGCCCCCCCTCCACCATCACCACCCAGTCCACGGCTGCAAGGGGCGACGAGGGTTCAAGGGGGGACGAGGTTTCAAGTGGGAGGGCGGGCGGAGTGAAAAAAAGGGAATGAGGAGGATGGAGGTGCAGGAGATAGCCCCTGCTCTGCTATGCGCCCCCCCTCCACCATCACCACCCAGTCCACGGCTGAAGAGGGGGAGAGCGAGGGAGAGGGGAGAGCGGGGAGAACGGGAGAGGGGAAAGAGATGAAAAGAGTGAGGGGAGATCATAGAGTGGAAGGACGTTCTTGAGTAACAGAAATATGATGAGATGGTTTCTACCAACTAAAGTACCTGGCAGAAAGTGCAGCTGGTTTGTGACCATGATGCGCGTGCGGCCGGCAAGCTCTGTCCTCACACACGTGTCGTACACCTGCGCGGAGCCATGGAATAAGAGGCACATCACAAGCACGTGAGAATTATAAAAAGGAAACTCGCATGCAGCAAACCCATGATGACATGTTCCCAAACCCCAAGCCCAGAGCATCAAGCCAACGAGGTGACTTTTGAGTCGACTCAAAAGTCTCCCAAACCCCACGCCCAGACCAGAGCATCAAGCCACCCACCCACCTGCTTGGCGATGTGGGGGTGTCGAGGGTGGAGAGCGGGTCGTCGAAGATTGAACAATAAGCATCAGAGTAGACCGCTCTGCTAGCCCCAGTTCACTCTCCCGCACGTGAAAGATGTGAGTTTTTGAGGCGTCTCAAAAACTCACTTTCTCCTGCGCGGTGACTTTCACTGCCCGCAAACCTCAAACCTTGAGCTGCAAGCCCCATACCCCAAGCCCTGAAACCCCAATCCCCAAAACATAGACCCACCTGCTTGGCGACGTGGGCGTCAAGGGCGGAGAGCGGATCATCGAAGAAGAAGACATCGGCATCAGAATAGACCGCTCTCGCGATGCTGATGCGCTGCTTCTGCCCGCCGCTCACGTTCACTCCCCTCTCGCCTATCTCCGTCAGGTCCCCCCCCTGGCAGCAGCTGCAGGTCCCTCTCCAGGGCGCTCACTCTCACTGCCCTCAAACCCCAAACCTTGACCCGCAAACCCCATACCCCAAACCCTAAGTCCCCAAACCCTGAGCCCGCACACACCTGCTTGGCGACGTGGGCGTCGAGGGCGGAGAGCGGATCATCGAAGAAGAACACATCGGCGTCAGAATAGACCGCTCTCGCGATGCTGATGCGCTGCTTCTGCCCGCCACTCACGTTCACTCCCCTCTCGCCTATCTCCGTGAGGTCCCCCCCTGGCAGCAGCTGCAGGTCTCTCTCCAGGGCGCTCACTCTCACTGCCCGCTCGTACCGCTGCCGCTCGTAGGGCAGCCCGAAAAGAATGTTCTCGCGCACTGTGGCGTTGAAGATCCAGGAGACCTGCGCAGGCCATGTGCCACGTGGCAGCATGTGATTGGGGGAGAGGAAGAAGGGGAGGGCAGATAAAAAAAGGAAAACATAAGGCTCAGCACCGCAAGCGAATGAAACATATCAAGAAAGAAAATTAGCACTTGCTAAAACAAAGTAAACAAAGCACCTGATTAGGGGACCAGATGCAAAATAACCTTCGAAGAATCGGTACAAACCTGTGAGACATAGGCCACGCGGCCTCTGATGATAGGAGGAGAGTCCCCTGCCACCATGGGCATCTCGCCCAGCAGCGCACTGACCAGCGACGACTTGCCTTGCCCTGCCATGGGGTGGGGTGGGATGGGGGAGGAAAGCAAGGTGAAGGAATGTGGTCAGGAAGATGTGAGTTGATGAAGAGGCCTTTCCAGTCCTGACATGCCATCTCACCCAACAGTGCACCGACCAGTGATGACTTGACCCGCCCAAACCCACCCTGACCCGCCTTGACCCTCCCCAACCTGCCCCGACCAACCCACCCCATTTGCTTTGATCCGTCCTGAACCTCCTGAACCCCTCTGACCCGCCCTGACCCGCCCAGTTCACCCTACATGCCGTACCTGTGGCGCCCACAACAGCCACCAGCTTCCCAGGCTCCACCGATAGAGTCACATCTGTTAGTGTGCCCCCCACGTCCTTCTCCTTCCCCTCCCCTCCCACTCCACCCTTCTCCTTGCCGTCTCCCCCTCCTCCACCTCCCTTTTCTGCTCCTGAGCCCCCCCCAGCAGCACCGTTAGAAGCAGTTCCATTAGCAGCAGCAGTAGGAGCAGCAGAGGGAGCAGCGCTCCAGGCGAAGGAGGCATGGGAGACCTCGACTGCCGGCTTGGTGGGGTCGATGGGCGGCGCAGGGGCGTCAATGTCCGTTTCGTCTGCCAGTAGCATCTCCTGCAGGCGCGTGAGAGACACGTTCACGTTCACCACCTGGGGTTGGGGGGAGGTGGGCGTGGGGTTTCCAGCAGAAGGTGTAAGGTAGATGGGGGTAGAAGGAGGGATGAAAAAGGGACGAAGAGGATTAAGAGGAGGGAGAGGCGTCGATTTCCGTCTCGTCCAAGTCGCTTTTGAGAAGTCTCAAAAGTCACAAATGCCTAGCTTGACCGCCGCTTCAAACTGCGTAGTAGTGATGGACATGTGGGGTTTTGAGATGTTAAGCCTCAAAAGCACATGTTCAAACTCCGACGCCCTCCCAGCCATATTATAGTCTATGAAATAACCCAACTCGTGCTGTCTTCCGCGTGCATCAATAATTCTAGTCCTATAACTTGCCGGGTAGTACGTGCTTCCGAGAATGCCACAGCTATCCCCCGCCTCATGTACTCCTACAACCCCTCCCACTCTCCCGCCCCCTCCCCTCGGCTACACACTCCCCTGAAGACAGCATGAGTACCAAGTACGATTGGTACCAAGTGTAGATGCATTATTTGGCCATATAATATATTAAGTGTAAGGGTGTTACTTGATATTTATGATTGGTAGTAACTTCAAGTGCAGTACTTAACCTTTTGGTTGATATTATGTAAAATTGTGCTACGTGGTTATACAATTGGTACTAAATATAATGCTTTACTTAGCTTGACAGTTGGTACTAAGTGTTAGTCCCTTACTTAACATTAGGAGGTAGGGTAAAACAAGGGTACTCAATGTCAGAACTTGAGCTTAGAATCCATGCATTAGTAATGAGCTCAAGGCTCTTTAAGAACATTGGAAATGGGCAAGGTAAGGGTGGGGAGAGAGGATCAGGGACAATCCTAGAGGATTGGGGGTAATCCTAAGGCAATCTCCAATTGGTGGGTTGGAGATTGCTTAAATATCACATTTGGGTTTGGTTGGGATATGGGTGTACACCCAGCCAAACACAAAGTGCAAACTACACTAAGCTAGGATATAAAAAGTACAAGTACAAATGTGAGATTGAGGGCTAACATTAACACCCCCCCATAGGCGTCAATCGAACTCATGACAGAGAAGGTGGAGCGCAAAGCCCCATGGCGCCTAGAAGGCAAAAGTGAGGAACCTTCCCAAAGGGCTTAGTGAACAGATGAGCCAAGTTGCAGTCAGAGGCCACATACTCCACATTGAGCTGCTCCCGCTGGACCTAAGTTGGATCGTACGTTTTCGGTTCCTTACGTTTTCGGACGATTACGACAATTTTTACGTTTACGAACGGTCGCCCAGATTCGGCCTTACGTTTACGGTCACCTAAAAACTTTTCTGAGCTGCCCGAGGGAAAAAAACGACCAGAGCATCAAGAAGATTCCCTCCAACCTAGTTCCGTAATTTGATATCTTGTCGACGTCAACCTAGCAGCTCGTTCGCAACCTATCGTGTTTCTCTCTTACTAACCTGGTCAACGCTGAATTTGAAACTTTCACGGCCTTGAAAGGCGCTCCATACGTAGTAAAGTCGCTATTCTAGAAAGGAACATGACAAATTAGTGGTACGATCTGGTACCCGTACACAATCCAATAAAAAGTATCACATTAGTTTTTTTTCCTGCTCGCCTCATACTTACGTGTAATTTTACGCTTTCGTTTACGTTTACGCTAAATTTCGCGAAATTTACGTTTACGAGACCTCAAAAAACGTAAGAGACCAACTTAGCGCTGGACAAGGTCACAGATGAAGAAGTGCTGAAGTTCGATGTGCTTGGTGCGAGTGTGGTAGACGGGATCCTGGAAGAGATGGATGGTGCTCTTGTTGTCACACCAGAGGGTGGGAGTGGGCTGAGAGTAGCCAAGCTCCTGGAATAGGAAGGTGAGCCAGCGGGCCTCCTGAGCCGCCATGGTGCCAGCATAGAGCTCTGCCTCACAGGGAGACTGCCACATAGCGAGAGAGGACGCTGACAGGGTATGCCAGATCAGGCCGGGTGCACATCATGGCGTACATGAGGAACCCAACAAGCTTTGGGTATGACAAGAAGGATGGAATAAAAAAGCCGGGATTGAAAGCGGTCATGGCTGGAGGAAAAAACAATATTCTCACAATGTGAGAGAGGCATAAGATGGTAGCTTAACTGTTTAAGTGAGCTGAGGTCCCCAAATAGTTGCTCGCACTCAAGTCAATCGAGTCAAAATCAGAGAGAAATAAGTCGACTCAACAATCAGCTCGACACTACCTGGGAATGGAGATCACTCGCGATTGCAAGGCTCACACCATCTCACTCTCCCAGGAGTTTTACATCAACAATGTACTCAAGCGTTTTGAGATGGAGTGGTTGCGAGTGAAGGCTTCACACTCAGCTTCCATGGCAGCGCGCCACTCGGCAGCATGGGGAACCGAAAGAGCCTCTTGGACGGTGAGGGGAATAGGAATGGTCGGGTTTTCCGAGAAGTTGAGCGAGGGGGATTCAGTGATATCGGGAAAGATGTGCGAAAGCTGAGGAATGACAGCGTGGAGATCACACAGCTCCTCGTGCCTATCTTCCAAAAGGGTAGAGGGCACATTCCCTCCAGCAGGAGGAGTCGGAGTGATCACTGAGCATCGAATGGCAAGTGCTAGTAGAGGAGTAGCCCCATGCGACCGAGTGCCATGAGCCACCGGAGAAGAGGGCGGAGCAGGCGTTCCTGGGGGGGACGACTTAGGGGGCTTGGGGGGAGGGATCGGCCGGCGTTGGTACGTGATTAGTTTGCTCGGCTGTGGGAGAGCAGGTTCCAGAGTGGAGGAGGAAACGAAGGGAGGAGGTGGGGCGGGAGGATTTGACCGCCGATGGTATGTGATTGGTGCGTTTGGTGGTGAGGGCGCAGTTGGCAGAGTGGCAGAAGGGGGGGATGGAGGAGCAGCTGCCGAGGACACCGGAGAGGTCGGGTTAGAGACCGTAGACGAGGATGGTGCGATGGCAGGAGAAGCACGAGGTGAGGGGGCTGGTGCAGGCGGAGGTTCAGAAGGCGCATCAAAGTCAGCCCACACGAGAGAGGGTGGTCCGGAGGGGGGATCTCCCCCCGAGGTGGAGAAGAAGAGGCGAGTCTCATCAAAGACGACATCTCGGCTGCGGACGAGTTTGTTGAGTGGAGGGGTTGAGGAAGAGGTAGTCAGGGGAGTCAGCGTTATGCCCAATGCATTTGCACGTTTGAGTTTTGGGACGAAGCTTGCCACCTTGCCGCCGGCGAGCCTAGGGGTTGAGGAGTACATAGGCGGTGCACCCCCAGACGCGAAGGGGGCGAGCAGTGGGTGTTTTTTCGAGCCAGAGTATGATGGGAGTGGTGTCGGGAAGATGCGGGTGGGGATAGAGGTTGTAGAGGAGGGCAGCATGACAGAGGGCGTACCCCCAGAGTGAGAGTGGTGTGTTGGAGTGGCTGAGCGAGTGATCTGCGTCAGTGTGTGATTGCGGCTCTTTGCTATGCCGTTTTGCTGCTGGCTGTCAGGAAGGGTGAAGTTTTGCAGGATGCCAAGGGAGGAGCAGAAGGCTTTGGGATTGTCATTGCAAAATTCACCACCACCATCCGAGTGGAGACGCTTGACCTTGGTGCCAAAGGAGGTATGCACCTGGTTAACCCATGCCATGATTGCCTCCGGGGCCTCAGCCTTAGGAGGTGCACAGAGACGTAGCGAGTGTGGTCATCAACTATCAGAAGAAATAGCGATGACCACCTCGTGCGACAACCGGGGCAGGGCCCCAGACGTCCATGTGCACTAGGTCCAATGGGGCTGCTGCTACTGAGGGTGAGGCAGGGTGGGGCTGTTGGCGTAGCTTGCTCTTGGTACAGTCAAGGCACGTGAGAGCGGGCGAGTCAAGTGGTGGAGGAAGTGAGGCTGGCCGGCTGAGAAGAAGCTTCTTGGAGGCCATGTCAGCAAACGTGCGGAAGTTTGAGTGCCCGAGCCGATGGTGGTAGAGGATGGTCGGGTTGGAGAAGTTGCGACATGAGCATGCTGTGATAGCAGCCTGTGCTTGGGTGGTTGACACCTGTGGGATAGGTACTCGCAGCGTGTAAAGGCCGTTGTGATTGAGGGTGAAGCGAGCCAAGACCTTGTTGGTGAGTGAGTCGATGATGTCACAATAGTTTTCGTTCTCCTGGAAGATGGTGCGTAACCCCGCCTCCTGAATTTCTGTTTGAGCCACTAGATTGTGGCGTAGTGACGGCACGCACATGCCAGTGACAGTGCCGGATGGGAAGGCGGGGCATGGGACTGTGGACGAACCCTTGGCAAGAGTGGTGAAGCTTGAATCAGCTCTCAAGAGAGGAACGGGTGTTGCGTAGGGTTTGAAGAAGAGTCTCCTTGAGCACTGTGTGAGTGGCCCCGCTGTCGAGTGTGAATTTTATGTGTTGTGGTGCCTGTGATGAGCCGGTGTACTGCGAAGTTGCTTCATTAATCATGGCAGTGCCAGGGAACAACAAGTTCATGCGCACATCAGCAGAGCACTGTCACTAGCACTAGCCTGAGCGGGGTTCTGTGCCTCAACAACATTGGCCTTACGACAACGCATCCAATTCGGCGGCTTTTTGTCGATTCCATGGATGGCATACCATTCGTCGTCTTTCATCTTGCAGCACCTGGCGAAGGGGTGGTTGGTGCCACCGCACACTTGTCCCTTGCGAATGCCATACTTGACGACGATGTAGGTGCATGGAGGGAAGCGGTTGCGCTGAAAGGACGCCGAGGCCAGTGCTGATGCGACACTTGATTGAGGCACGGGAGCACGGAGGGCGTAGGCCTTAGCTTGGCCGAGGAGTCTTTTTTGGCGGAGAAGAGGGCGGAGGAGACATTAGCAAAGGTGAGGCGAGTGCTGATGCGATACTTGATTGAGGCACGGGAGCACGGAGGGCGTAGGCCTTAGCTTGGCCGAGGAGTCTTTCTCGGCGGAGAAGAGGGTGGAGGAGACATTAGCAAAGGTGAGGTCTTCTGCCGAGGAAGTGAGGAGCATTTTCCTTGTGACTTCGTAGGAGTTTATTCGAGGAAGATGATACCCAGCTCCTTGAGCTCGCCATGGATGGTTTGCACCTTGGCGACGTAGTCGGCCATACCCAAGCAGTCCTCAAGGCGGACTTGAAACATACTACGAATAAGATTAGCCACCCCGACCGCCGTCTTATTCATGAACATGTCCTGGAGATGCTTCTCCCACTTGCGGTACTTGGCAACAGAGTCCTCGTACTCCCGGGTTGCCACAGCATCGGTTGGATCGGATGGCTCCTTGGAAATGAGGGGCTGTTTTCCTTTGCCATTATTGAGAAGAACGTCTTTGAGGTCAAGTCCACTCACTTCACGACTCAGGAGGAGCTTGTCAACCCCGTAGCTTCATGCCTTGAAGTTGGAGCTAGTGCCTTCGGCTTCAAGGCGGAGCGGGGTGATGGGTTTGGCGAGAGTGGCCGAGGCGAAGGCCATGACAAAGAACCCTTCAGGTCTCGCGTGAGGCGTCGTTGTTGAATCACCGATAGGAACTTGAGGTTTAAGGTTTCCGAAGGAGAATTTCAAGAACTTGGGGTTTTGGGTTTACGAAAAAGAATTGTGATGTTTATGGTTTCCGAAGGAGCGTAGAAGGATTTTTAAGGCCGATGAAAGTAGGTCAAATTGACCGATTTCGATAGCTAACTCCATTCCCACACACCCCCCCACACACCACCCTCAGTTTCGCGGCTACACTGCTGCTCGCTGCTCAGCTTCGCTCCTACATGGCTGCTCAACTGCGCAGCTGCACCTGTTCAGCTGCAAAGTGCCGTTGCGGGGCGACGGGCGGCAGCCCGACGAGAAGATGCAGGACGATGGGCGGCGGCCCGACGAGAAGCTGCAGGGCGACGGGCGGCGGCTCGACGAGAAGCTGCAGAGCGACGTGCGGCGGCCCGACGAGGAGAAATGGAGCGAAGACGATTGACAAGAAAAATGTGATTGGTTAAAGCGCCAACGATGCGCTTACCAGAGAAGTTGCGAAGTCGTCGAAAAGGAAGGAAGAGTGGCGCGGGATAATTTCCGGCCAAAGAAGTCGCGAATCACCAGCGACTGGATAGATGGTGGCTACGCCGAAGAAAGCGGGACAAAAGCCCGTTGAGATAGGAGGATCATGATACGCGTGTGCGGTTGAATCGCTCTGATACCATGTCAGAACTTGAGCTTAGTATCCACGCATTAGTAATGAGCTCAAGGCTTTTTAAGTACATCAGAAATGGGCAAGGTAAGGGTGGGGAGAGAATCAGGGGCAATCCTAGGGGATTGGGGGTAATCCTAAGGCAATCTCCAATTGATGGGTTGGAGATTGCTTGGAAATCATATTTGGGTTTGGTTGGGATATGGGTGTACACCCAACCAAACACAAAGTGCAAACTACACTAAGCTAGGAGATAAAAAGTACAAGTACAAATGTGAGATTGAGGGCTAACATTAACACTCAATACCAAAATATTGAGGCGAACCACTAACCTGGGTGATGAGGTTGGGGAACATGTAGAGGGGGAAGCGCAACACAGCGAAGAGGGAGATGGAGGTGAAGGCCTTGGCGGCTGTGAGCTGGTGGCCTAACAGCGAGTAGCAGCCGAACGACACCACCGTCACTAGCACCGGCACCACACTCATCAGCAGGAAGTTGATCTGCGGAAGGATGGGGGGATGGGACACGGGGGGTGGGAGGGGGGAAAAGAGAGTGGAAGAGAAGGAAAGGCGGGGTGGGGTGGGGTGGGGCTTGACCATGAGTGAAGTCCATTGGTTTTTCTACTCAAAAGCCGCTCACAGGTCAACTCTTTGGACTTTTGGGGGGTTTTAACACGATATACGCAAAGAAGATAAGGGTGGGTCATAACTATTTGTTTACTCTTTGTCTAACGATCGAGATCGACGTGCAAGGCTCAATATGATGTGCGACTGCACTGCACCTTGAAAAAAAGCCCCATAATATCAACCTCCACCACCATGCCCTGAAAGCTCTCCTCCCACGTGTACGACTTGACTCACCGCCACCTCACTCATCCTCTCCACCTCATCATACCGCACACAACCCACCGCCATGATGTATTGCGCCTTGGAGATCTGCCCCATCTCGTCCGCTCGAACGCGTGCCACCTTGCTCTGAAAGCTCTCCTCCCACGTGTACGACTTGACGACGTCCATGGCTGCCAGCACCTCGCTCATGAGCGCCACTCGCTTGTCGCTGCGCTGCAGTGATGCCTTCACCAGCTTCTGTACCCGGTTCACTATCACCGCCTGGTGGTGGGGATATGGGGATAGGGGTGGATGTGGCACGGGAGGCAGGGAGAGTGGAGGACGGACGAGAGGAGGGGAAAAGGGAGGAGGTAGGCAGATGGAGAGAAAAAAGGGGTGGGAAGCGGGGTTTGGGTTGAGGACGGAGTGAAGAAAGGAGGGGAGAGGGGAAGTGAGAGGGGGCAAGTGAGGCGAGGAGAGAGCAGGGAAGAGAAGAAGCATAGGGAGAGAGGCACAGGCCACTCCAAACTGATGGCAGAGCAGGACCATGGAGGCAGATGAGAATGTGAGCAGAAATACCAGAGAGTCTAGCCCCATTTCCACCCGGTACCACAACCACTCACCTGCGCGGGGATCATGAGGAGCAGCATGAGCAGCCCGAGGAGTGATGCCACCCCTAGCTGCTGGTAAAGCAGGAAGACACACACGAGGATGCGGAGAGGAGCGGACCAGAGACCGTGCAGCTGCTGACACACCTGGGAGATTAAGATGGGAGACGAGGGGAAGGGAAGGGAGTGAGTGAGACAAAGGGAGTGAGTCAACGCAAGGGGTGAAGAGGAGTGATGCCACCCCTAGTTGCTGGTAGAGCAGGAAGACACAGACGAGGATGCGGAGAGGAGCGGACCAGAGACCGTGCAGCTGCTGACACACATGGGAAGAGGGGAGAGCGGCAGGAGAAAGGAAGAAGGTTGATTACAGAGGAGTTTGAAGCGAGCAAATCGGCCGTCTTGATGCACATTCTGAGCAAGGAGGTGGAACCCTTTTTTGAGGCAATTCTTGAGGCGCCTTTTGAGGATTTTCTAGGCGCCTCAAAAATCACATTCTGAGCAAGGAGGTGGAGCCCATTTTTGAGGCGACTAAAAAAAGGTGGAGCCAGATTTATTGATTGATGGTAATGCGGTTGTTGTCACAGAAAACGGGAATACCACACTGCGGTTATTGTCACCTGCATGATTCAAAAACTCTAAGAATACCACACCGCATCACACCACACCACACCGCACCTCACCCCACCGCACCACACCGCACCGCACTGCACCGTACCATCTGCAGCGACTCGGCGTCGTTGGTCATCATGTTGGTGATGCGCCCCGTGCTGAAGCCCTGCCGCCCACTGTGACTCAGCCGCAGTGACTTGCTGAACACTGCTGCCACCTGCACATGGGACGGGTCACGGCACAGAAAAGAGGATGGCGGAGAGAAGGGGACACTGCTTAGCACAGCCACAGGGACTTGCTGAACACTGCTGCCACCTGGGCGCAGAAACACAGGGGGTCAAGAGAGGGGAACAGCACTCTCCGTCTCGTCCTTGAGATTTGGGACGTCACAAAACGATGGGCCAGTCGGGAGTGTGTTTTTAAGCGCCTGAAAAGGAGGTCGAGAGAAAGGGTAACGGCAATTTCAAGTTTCATTCATCCTCGTCCTCCAGATTCGGGATGATTTGAACGGACGCGGGGTTTGGAGAGGGAGTGTAACAGGGATGGAGAAACACGGCAGACCGATTGTGACGCATGGATGACGATCCTAAGGGAACGTGTAAGGAACGGTATATGGGGTTGAGTGAAAACGAATGGGAGCACCATCCACTTGAAGATAACGTAAACCCACAGTGCATGTAACAGTGCCACAATGCATTCCCATAACGCACAGTACAGCACGCTGCCTATCCACCCACCCACCCACCCACCATGGCTTACCAGCATGTCACGGCATCCCAAGTGCACAACACAGTGCATGCAACAGCACCCTTTCACAGCTTGTCTCAGGCACGTACCATGGCTTGCCGCAGCTGGAAGCCCACGCGCATCACACTCTGGAAATACTGCGCCTCACAGATGACCCCTCCCACCTAGTACCACGGAGGGATACACGGACAGAGAGAGGGTTGGTGTGCGGTGCTGGGCGGTTAACAAGAGGTGGTGATGGTATGCTACAGGCTCGTCCCACTGCATGGCAAACCCCTAAACCCTCTAACACTCTGTCCACACCACACTGTGTGTCTATGGGCATAACCCCACAACCACACCAGGGAGGGTGCACCACCATACCAGTCCAAGAAATATGATGGTGGCATAGATGTAGCCGTGCCATGCAGGCTCGTCTGATTGCATGGCTGACAGCAGGCGGCTGAGCATCAGCGGTCCCACAAACTGAGAGGCGTCGTTGCCAATCTGATGAACAGTGGGGTGGGGATGGGATGGGATGGGGTGGAGATGGGGATGGGATTGGGGTGGGGATGGGGATGGGGATGGGGATGGGGATGGCGATGGGGATGGGGATGGGGATGGGGATGGGGATGGGGATGGGGATGGGATGAGGGTGGGATGAGGGTGGGGGTGGGCATGCGAGCGAGCACCGGTGTGTATGAGAATCCAAAGATGCAACATGGAACACGCAACATGCAACATGCAACAATATATGCTGGAGCACCAGCCATGATCATCCAGGCAAGAGTGTAACGGTCGGAAGGAAGGAAACATGCTTCTCTCACAGGTTTGGAAAGGCCTAGCTAGCATTCAGGCGGGAAGGGAAGGCAAGAGGGAGGCATACCTTGCAGAACCCACCCCACCAGAACCTGTTTAAGGTCGGAAGAGTAAGGGGAAGACAGGGATGGGAAGGAAGTAGAAGGGATGGGGGTGGGGAGGGGGTTGTGAGATGTATGCGTGTGAGCGGTGCATGTCGAACCGACCACGAGATTCAAGACGTCTCGAAACCTAACAATGTGGGATGTGTATGGTGCATGTGCGACCGACTATGAGTTGACTTTTGAGTCGAGCTGACTTTTGAGTCGAGTTGACTTTTGAGTCGAGTTGACTTTTGAGTCGACTCAAGAGTCAACTTAACAATGTGGTATGTGTATGGTGCATATGTGACCGACTATACGAATTGAAATTTGATTTGGAAGAGGTGGGGGCCGGGGGGTGGTGGGGAAGGGCAAGGGGAGGGGGAGGGGGAGGGGGAGGGGGAGGGGAGAGAGGGGGGGAAGAGAATGGTGGTGCGCATGTGTGAGCGATCACAACCCAATACAAAGGTTCATCTGTGTTTGTTGAGTGCGTCCTGTATGCCGCACTCTGCAATGGCGGCACTGCCCTATCAAACAAGCTGAAAATGCACGCACAACACAACAAGCTCCTCCGTCCATTTTTGCAGCGCCTCAAAAACTCTGCAACGGCGGGCACTGCCCTGTCAAACATGCTTAAAATGCACGCCGTTGCACAACACAAGCTCCTCCGTCCGAGGTGACTTTTGAGTCGACTCAAAAGTCACTCTGCAACGGCGGGCACTGCCCTGTCAAGCATGCTTAGAATGCACGCACAACACAAGCTCCTCAGTGATGTAGAGTTTTTGTGAGAATTCTCAAATAAACCCTGCATCACGGCGGGCACTGCCCTGTCAAACATGCTAAAAATGCACGCACAAGCTCCTCCGTCCATCTGTCCCTCCGTTCATCTGTCCACTTCTCCGCCACCTCCCCCCCTCCCCTCTTTCTTCCCTCACCTCCTCCCATTCCTCCAGCTCCTCCCCTCGCGCCCCTCCCCTCCCTTCCCACCCACCTCTCCTACACCTCCCAAACCCTCTCACCACTCCCTCCCCCCCCACATCCCCCCCCTCCGAACCTTCCACCCCTCCCACACATCCTCTACCCTCACCTGCGGCCAAAGCAGGAGTGCAGGGCGCGCAGCAGCCACGGCTTAGGCCGCGCCTTTTCTTCCCTCCACTCGCGCTCAAACCTGCCCAGGTGGGGGCGAGAGCACACAACAGGAGAGAGTAGGGTGGATCCGTGAACGGAAGGTTGGAACCAGCCAGGACAGCAGAAGACACTACTTAGCCGCCCCTTCTCTCCCCTCCACGTGAGAAGGTGAGAGAAAAGCCGAGCGGAGGGTAGGAATTGACGAATCAGGGAAGCCATCATTCAAGAGCCGTGCCACACATTGCTGCCCTCCAACCGGCACTTGGTGTCACTCATGCCCCGTAGACCCACAGATAGACCCACACATACAACCTCACCTGCCATACACCGTGGCTGTTTTGTTTTTCCATCGTTCAGCCGCCACACATCGCTGTCCTCCAACCGGCACTTGGTGTCACTCATGCCCCGTAGACCCACAGATAGACCCACACATACAACCTCACCTGCCATACACCGTGGCTGTTTTGTTTTTCCATCGTTCAGCCGCCACACATCGCTGTCCTCCAACCGGCACTTGGTGTCACTCATGCCCCACAGACCCACAGATAGACCCACACAAGCTCACCTGCCATACACCGTGGCAGTGCGGTCGCCATCGTTCAGCCGCCACACATCGCTGTCCTCTATCGGGCGCCGGTACCCCGTAGCCATGAGAGGCGTCATCCACCCAAACGTCAGACCTGCGGAAGGAGTGGGGGAAGGAAGGGTGGGGAGGAAGGGGTGGGGAGGAAAGGGTGGGGGATGGGTGAGGGTGGGTGACGAGGAGCAAGGTAAAAGGGTCTGGAATTCTGAAACAGGTGAGAGCTCACGGCCCAGGTTTAAGCTCAGACGCTTCAAGTCACTCAGGTTTAAGCTCAGACGCTTTACAGGATGTGAAATGAAAGGTAAAAAGAGTACGAGGTTTGGGATTTAAGAACAGTAGATGAAGCTCAGGTGCATCAAGTCCACTACTTGGAGGTTGTGAGGTGTTGTAAGGTGGAAGGAATTAGGCTTCAGGGATTCAATGAGGCCTCACGGTTGATGAAGCTGGTGTGGTCTTCAGGGCACACCTGCCCCTGGGTGTGGTCTTCAGGGCACACCTGCCCCTGGTTGTCTCCTCCCTCCTCCGCTGCTTCTCCTTCCGCCCCACCCACAGGCCCTGCAGCCAAAGGCACATACCCCGCACCACCACCACTCCCTGCTGCCCCTGCTGCTTCTCCTGCTGCTGCTGCAGGTGGCAGGAGTGGCGCTGCTGCCTCTGCAGCTGCGAGGGCGGAGGAGGAGAATCCCGACGAGGCACGCTCAAGCGGGAGCAGGTTGGGGAAGAAGAAGAGCGCTAGCAGACCCAGGAGGACCTGGGAGGTATAAGAGAAGGAGCATAAAGGAGGGACACGGAGGGGAGTGAGCAGCCAGGGGAGAATGGGAGGGTGGGAGGAGGAGCAGGGTGAGCAGGGGGGGGGGGGGGGGACTGGGAGGACGGAGGGGTGGGTGGAGCAGGCGAAATTTAGTCTGCTGCAGGAGTGGTTGGAGGAGGAAAGACTATGCATGAGCTGCAGCTTTCCTGCACTGCCTTTGCTTGACAGCTAGAACGAAACCTACAGGCAGTAAGTCTTTCTGTTTTGAATATGTTTTCTAAGCGGTAGAATTAGCACTTACGTGAGCTGATGTGTAGCCAAAGAAGAGCTCCACAAAGAAACTGGGAAGGGAGAAAGGATGCAAATGGGGAGAACGCTAAGGGGAAAAATCATGATCGGTCACAAAGAATAAAAAGAAACCAAAACAAAAAAAAACAAAAAAAAAACCAAAAAAAAACAAAAAAAAACACACATGATCAAGGTGCAAAAAAACGGCCGAAACTTTGAAATTTCGGCGTAAAAAACGGTATCGTAGTTTTCGGTCGTAAAAAACGGTTTAAAACGGTAAAACCATGTCATTTTGTGCTGGTGCAAAAAAACGGCCGTTTTTTTCGACCGAAACTTTGAAACCATCGTTGTAACTCATAATTAGTGGATTTTTAAAGGGGATAGGAATTGCTTGCCGTTTTCACTGTCGATTTCCGACATGCGGCTCGTTGAATTTTCTCGAGCCGCGAATTCAGTCTGAACCGAGTCGCGCATTTCAACATTTGACGACAGGATTACATGTTTCGCCACATGCGGACCGTTTTCGCGCCAGCTGACAATGTGTTTTCTCGCATACAGAGGGTGTCGCAATTTTCGCGCAATGCTAATGCAAAGCGCGACCAATCAGAACACCCCTACAGTGTTGGTCGAGTCGCCCCGAATGCAGCATTTCGCGATCGCGAACCGAAGACATTACCCGCTTCGTTAATTTTTTCAAATTTTCGCGCTAGAAGCGAAAATGTTTCGCGCATGCGGGGTGTGTCGCAAAGCGCATGCCACTCGAGAGTCGCGACCAATCACAGCAGCCCAAGCCCAATCTTCCGAAGTGAGTTGCTCATCCTCAACTCGACAATGCACTTCAGCTCCCGAAGTACAAAGAGGCTCTGTCCAGGGCCTCTTAACTCATAGCCACTGAGGCTATTCCAGCACTCTCTCTATCAGATTAGCCACCCCAAGCCTTGCACCATGGTTCGACCGCAGTCACGCTATTGGCTGCACGTTAGGAAAGAGACGGCGGAAGATGGTACAATCACTAGCTGCGTGTGCCTTCACTGTCATTTGCCGGTAACCCCAAACGCAACTAGAATTGGGGAGCACCTTTTAGGCACTCCAAGCTCCAAGCATAAGAACGTAGCGATCTGCGAATCAGATTATGCGAAGCAGCTGCGAGCGTCGTCCGTCGAGGAGCGTTCGTCCTTCGAAGACGGCTCTAATGGAGCGTCTACGTCCACTATGGAGGTGCAGTTACCCCGGCGCTCACGGCAGCGGGACATTCGGGAGATGGCCGACGTGACAGCGCGCGGACGCTTGGACTACCTGTGGGCGGCTGCTGTGGCGGAAAACGACCTGGCGTTTAGGACGTCTTCGTCTAAGGCGATGCAAGCGTTTGTGGATGCAGTCGCCGCATTCGGGAAGGCCTACACCTTACCTTCGGCATACAAGGTGGCGGGCCCACTTCTTGTCAAGTTGAAGCTCGACACGGAGGAGCTCATCAAGCCAATCAAAGAGAGTTGGCCGAGAAGCGGATGCACCCTCACGATGGACGGTTGGACGTGCCTCAAAAGCCGGGGCATGATTTGCGTCATCGCCCAAAACGACACCGCGCCGGTGATTGTGGACTGCGTCGACTCCAAAACCGCGAAGAAAACTGGAGAGTACCTCGCGAAGCTCATCCAACATGCGATTTGCGAGGTGGGGGACAGCCACGTTGTCCAAGTCGTCATGGACAACGCGGCTAACAACAAGCGCGCGGCAAACTTGCTCAAGGACGAGTACCCGCAAGTCTTCTTCACCAATTGTGCGGCCCACGTCTTGGACCTCATGCTTCACGATATGGGGAAGGTCAAGGCGGTGAAGAGGGTCCTCAACCAGGTGCATCGGGTTGTGATGATGGTCAAGGGGAGTGCCTCGGCCGTCACACTTTTCCGTGAGTTGTTTAGCAAGCTAGCGCTTGTCCGCCCTGGTGCTACTCGTTTTGGAACGCAAGTGATCATGATCGAGCGTTTCCTTGAGGTTAAAAAGGCATTGAAGGAGATGGTGATTAGTGAGGAGTGGAAAAGTGTAGCGGTGGCGAACACGGAGGAGGGGCAGGCTATACGTGGTCTCCTCTTGGAGGAGACGTTTTGGGACTCCGTCACGGCCATTCTCGGCCTCATGAAGCCCATCTACGAGGTGCTACGCATCGTTGACCGGTGGTCCCTTGTGATGGGGAGCGTCTACGGCCTCATGCTTGAGGCTACGGTCAAGACCAACGAAGCGGCAACGAAGGCGGGTAAGTTCAATGTATTAGACATATGAATCAATTAGTTCAACGATTCTGTCCCTACCCTACACCAGCCACTCCGACGCTATTACTCACCATGAATTTGTTGCTCTTACCGCGTGCGCAGCTGCCCAACTCTCCAAGAAAACCGGTTTGCTTCCGGGAAACGAGAAGGCCGCGTTTCTTGCTGCGTTTAAGGCTATCATAGCCAACCGATGGGACGGACAGCTGCACAACCCCCTCCACGCCTTGGGGTGGCTTCTAAACCCGAAGAATCAGTACGTAGGCGAGATTCGGGAGGATGCGGAACTGAGGGCGGGGGCTGAAGAGGTGTTTAAGGCAAGGGGGGGCAGTGTTGAGATGCGGACGATGCTAGCGGTGCAACTAGCCGCTTTTCACAAGGGAGAGGGGAAGTTGGGGTCTGTGGATGCGCGGTGGGCTGCCACCATCTTGGTGGAGAGCGGGAGGCTCTCCGCGGCTGAGTGGTGGGCGCTGTATGTGGGTGAGGTTCGTGCTTTGCAAAAGATTGCGGTGATGTTGCTCTCCCAGCCCGTGACTTCATCCGAGGTCGAGCGGTACTGGTCCGCTCTCGCAAGGGTCCAAAGGCGGGACCGCAACCGGCTGAATGCCACGTCCATGACGGACGTGGCATTCGTGGCATTTGGCCGGCGAGCTCGGGAGTCCTATGACAAAAAAACAGAGGCCCGTGCTAAGCTCTACAGCGAGTTGAGCAATGGATCGCTGCAGGAGGGCAGCACAAGCGTGCTTCTTTCTCTTCCGGTGGAGGCGGAGGTGGATGAGGAGGAGGAGGCGGGGGGGGAGCCGTGTACCATTGACTGGGACACCTTCGGGAACATTGGCAAGCGGGTGACCAAAAGGAAGCGCGCAAATCTGAAGAAGAAGAAGAGTGCTTCCAAGGGCAGCGGGTCCCGCAAGGGGAAGGAGAAGGTTTGTGAGGAAGAGGAAGAAGAGGCGGAGGATGGGAGCAGTGATGATGACAGTGGTCCGGATGAACCAACCAAGCGGAAGAACAAGGGGGTGAATGCGTGGGATTGTAGCGACGGGAGTAGCGGGGAGGAGGAGGATGACGAGGAGGATGAGGAAGAGGAGGAGGATTAGGACTAAGTAGGAGGAGGGGGCTGAAGGATAACTTATCGGTAAGTGGAGGGGGCTGAAGGGTAAGGACTAGATCAGAGGAGGGGGCTGAAGGATAAGGACTAGGTAAGAGGGGGTAGAAGGAGTAGGAGTAGGTAGTTAGGAGGAAGGAGGGACCTGACTGTGTTTGCTCATTTCTGACTAGTTTTTAGCATGTTACTTTCCGTTTGTATGCTGCCCTGTTCTGGAATCATCTATGAACCCTTTCTGTTTTTTTTTTTTGGCACAAAAATCTCCAACAAAAAAACGGCCGAAATTTTGAAAAAACAGCGTAAAAAACGAGCGTTTTAAACGGAGCGTATTTTACCCCAACCGAAATTTTGAACCTTGCACATGATAGTTGTGGAGGAGAGGAAATGAGCACGAACCACAGCAGCAATGCACCAGGCTACAGCCTACAAGCACACACTCATTCAATACAATTTCAATTACGAATCACAGCAGCCAGCCATGCCATCACCTAAACCCGAAAACCCTCAACCAATTCGCTTCAGTACTCAGAGCCAGCCATGCCATCACGCAGAGTGCAGCAGACAGCCATGCCATCACCTAAACCCGACATCCCTCACCTCATGCACTTCATCACTCAAGCCTAGAAGTCCCGCTGCAGAATGAGCACAAATCCCAGCTTGGCCAGCTGCCCCACCATCACGTACAGCACAGCGAATCACAACAGCCACAACCCCCCTGGCGGCCATGCATTTGGTTACAAACAAGCTCTCAACTCATGCACTTCATCACTCACGCCTGGAAGTCCTGCTGCAGAATGAGCACGAATCTCAACTTCGCCAGCTGCCCCACCATCACGTAGAGCACTGCGAATCGCAGCAGCCATGCGCCCTTCACCGCCATGCGCCTTCGCTCCCAGAAGAGAGCCGTTGCTGTGAGCGCCCAGGCGAGGAACGCCAGGATCAAGGAGCAGACCTGGGGGAGCAAGGGATCGAGTTGAAACGACGGGAGCATGAAACGGTGAGACTGATACGTGGCAACCATACAACGGTCACTGCCATGCGCCTGCGTTCCCAGAAGAGCGTACGCGGTTGTAGTGAGCGCGCCCAGGCGAGGAAGGCCAGGATCAAGGAGCAAATCTGGGAATGCATGGGATAGAATTGAGGTGAGGAGGAGAGCAGGAAGGAAGTAGCTCCAGCTGCAGCAACCACACATCCTTCACTTCACTGCCATGCGCCCGCGTTCCCAGAAGAGTGCCGTGGCGGTGAGGGCCTAGGCGAGGAACTCGAGGATCAAGAAGCAAAGATGAGAGAACATGATTATTGGAGGGGAACAGGAGTGGAAGCAGCAAGAATTAAATGAAACTGCAGCAGCCACATCCCCAGGGATCTGGCATTCGTTCTTCACCGCCATGCGCCTGCGGCTCCCAGAAAGGGGCCGCGGCGGTGAGCGCATCAAGTGAGGAAGGTGAAGATCATGGCGCAAACTTAAGAAGCAGATTGAAGAATAATCAATTGAGAAATACACCAAAAAAAAGAAAAACTGCCCGAGATGAAGAGAGGAGGAGAGAGGCATCAGTCGACAAGATCCACACGAAGGCCGCGACTGGCGAGCGTCCTAAATGGCATCTGCTTGCAGGCGAGCGCCGTGGACGTCATTGATTTGAGATGCGAATAGAAACCAGAGAGATTAGAACACGAGAGCTCCAGAAGAGAATTGCGGAAGAGAGGGTCTCAGTGGGGAACAAGAGCATTACGAAACAGATCTGGACTAAGAAGCAGCGAGGTTGTAACGCATTGGGAGATTGAACCGCATAGGCGTGCGGTGCCTCGTAAGGCGGCAGATCCGCATCTGTAGAGAAGGAGCTCAGTGACACGCGAGCGGGATTTTTTTATCGACTCAAAAACCGCATGATTCACCTCGTAAGGCTCTTACCTCATAAGGCGGTAGATCCGCATCTGTAGAGAAGGAGCTCAGTGACACGCGAGCGCTCAGCTGCATCAGCGGAACCACTGCACACGTCAGCGCCAGCGCAGCAGCCGCCACGATCCCCCGCTCCCCGCGCCACCCGGGCGCAACCGCCCGCTGCTGCGCGCGCGGGGTGGTGTAGAGAACGTACAGCCGCAGCACGGCTAGAAGAATCATAGCGAGGTACGCTGTACCGAGTACGACAATGTCGATGAAGCAGGGCGTGAAAGCGCCTAGCTCGTTCGTGATTGACTCCCATGATCCGTTAAACTGCGGCTTGCAGAACGAATCTACGAACTGCGGAGGCGGCGCCGGCTGCGGCGGCGGCGCGGACGGGCCGAGAATTGCGGAGGAGACGGTGGGAAAGGGAGAGAATGCGACGGATGAGAAAAGCTCGGCGACATTGCCGCGCGAGGCGGCGCCAGTTGCGGCCATCGCGGTGTCGGTTTCGGAGAGATTGGCGCCGGAAGTCGCGGCGGAAGACGCGGCGGTGAGGAAGGAGGTAACATTAGTGGTGGATGGATGGAGGGAAAGCAAGGAGGAGAAACCGCCGGTGCCATCGAGGGAATCGGGAGGCGACAATGACGCTGCTGCTGACAAACCGCTGACGGTAGTGGTTATCGTTGCGGGGTAGCTACTATCGGAGAGCCATGGGAAGAGAAGTGAGGGGTAGGGAAGCACGGAGGGAGTCAGAGGCGCCATTGCGCCGCGCAAAGGCTGCTTTCTGACGGCGGGTTCTGATTGCCACGTTTTGACCACCCCCAACCTCTCCTAACAGAATTCTTCGATTTTATCGCTTTTGACCTTCGTCGGATCTGTTCTGACCTCCGATCGCGGACGGGTAAAATTAACACGTAGTGGACGTACTCCCGACACTACTATAAAACACACTACCAGTATCGCATACGTACCTTCTTCCTACTTCTATCAAAGTCAAATGTCATGACCTTTGTTTCTTGCAATAAGAGCTAGATTACGGGGACCATGGCGCGAAACTAGAGACTAGCAACACCGAAGTCACCCATCCCAAAACTCTAGTCTGCTTGGAGCTCCCATTGCAACAAAAGAAACGTAGGAGCTGCTAGTAGCAGTGTCCGAGTGAGCAGCACCCTAGTGACCAGTGAAATTGACAAGGCTTTATAACAGCATCACCGGATGCAACAAGACCTAAACCATTCAAACCGAGAACGAAGCCAGGCCAATGACATGGTGCACGACAAGATCAAGGCAGCATTTTTAGCAAAATGCCCAAGCTTCTTTGACGGGCAGGACATGCTCCAAACCAGTCCATTATCGTCATTTAGGTCAGCTATTACACACAAATTGGTCATGAAGGTTGAAGTGTACGAAATTATGCTTTCTATTGTTGGTGGACCAGTGTTCGAACATACGAAAAAAGGAGGTGAACAATGGCAAGTCATATGCCCAACAAGTGGGCTCACAGTGATCATAAACAAGCCATTCATACACGTCCACCTGGCAGATAACAGTGCGGCACTGGGCACAGAACGGCGTGTGAGGTCAGCATATACAGTAGAATAGCGACTCCCCAAGTTCCTCGAAATTACAAAACAGCAACGGACAATAAAATTTGTCCGAATCATTAACATGATGGTTCAAGCCAGCTCTCGTAGCTCAGTTGGTTAGAGCGTATGGCTGTTAACCATAAGGTCGGTGGTTCAAGCCCACCTGGGAGCGGTCTTGTGCGTTTACGTTTTTCCACATGCAATTTTGGTTCTCTCAGTCTATTTCCTGCTGTTTCAGGCAGCGTGGCTGCTATGAGCGCTGACATCAAGACATTGTTTGATCAGACGAATCATCCAACTCTCTCATAACCGTTGCCCACCCTAGCAGCAGCATTCGTGGAAGGTTCGTCGGCAGCAAGGGCAGGAAAGGAGGCCATGAGTAGTGAAGGTTGGGATGGAAAGGGTGCAGGGGGGCAGTTGTGACTGGGCCAGAAAGGAGGCAGGGGGGGTATGTAGCTGGAACAGAAAAGGGCCAGCGGAGCACATATGGCTGCTACATGAAGGGAGCAAGGGAGGAGCGAGAGTTGAAATCGGACGGGAAGCAAGGGAGCAGCAGAGCATTAGAGAAGGTATGACAGGAGGCACCAGGCAGTGTGAGAGTGAAGGGGCGAAACGACGTTCCCTAGAGGTCTAGGGGTTTGGCTCGGGTGATGATTACCGTGTGGGATCATGGCTGTATCGGCCAGTGCGTTCTTTGTGAGTATTGAGTGGGGCAAGAAAAGTCCTAAGAATACGAAATGTGGGAAGTGTTATCCGGGTCAGTGTCCATGTTTTTATCCTAGAGGTGGCACATGCTGAAAGGAATACCGTATCAGTCTGTACCGTATGCTTGTGGTGCGCGCGTGCGCATCCGCACGCGCACGGGTACGGACAGAGGTGCACACAACACACACACGCACACACGCACACACACGCACGCTCACACATAAAGTACACACACACGCACGCTCACACATAAAGTACACACACACTTGCACAAGCCCACTGGCATCCTCTGCCATTCAAGATGGCAGCTGGCTGCAGGCTTACGGTTGATGAACCAAACAAACCAGGCCACCCTTGCGTTGGGAAATGCAGGGTTTGTTGCTTGTGAATTGATTGCTACTTGGACCGACCACTCATGACAGTAACAAACAAATACCATCTTGCAAATGCAATAACACCTACGATCTAGCTCCACTCGCATCGTCACTTGTCAGGTCATTAAAAGTCTCAACAACATGCTTCGCCAATGTCATAACAGAGTACTCAACAATAACCTGCAAAAAGAGAAGCCATCCAACTCCGCAAAAATTTCAACAAAAGCAATAACACATATGCATAAATACGTTCGTATGCACAGACTGGACACATTGGAAGTGTGCAGTGCACATACCTCCATGTATGTGTCCAAGGTCGGATGAGCCCCGGAAATCTTCTCATACCCATCATACCACATGGTCCCCGGGGTCCACAGGTGCTTGAAATCTTGCCACAGTCGGATGTCGTAGAGGCGTTTCAAAGGGTCAAAGAAGCCTGGTGCGTGCTCATTGGTGGCAATGTACAGTGTGCGTCCAGGTGCAACGAACTTGGGAAGCCTTTTTAGTAACCTGCAGGTGGGTGGTGCAGAGGAAGGAAAGAGGGTCCTCAGGAGAGAGTTGGGTTGGGTGGATGTATGGAGAAAAGGACAGATAGTATCCGGTGTTAAGCAATGTGAGCATGCTGTAATAATCAACGTGAGCATGCTGTGATAAGCAATGTGAGCATGATGTGGTAAGCAAGGTGAGCATGCTGTGGGTAAGCACGGTGAGCATGCTGTGGGTAAGCAATGTGAGCATGCTGTGGGTAAGCAATGTGAGCATGCTGTGGGTAAGCAATGTGAGCATGCTGTGGGTAAGCAATGTGAGCATGCTGTGGGTAAGCAATGTGAGCATGCTGTGGGTAAGCAATGTGAGCATGCTGTGGGTAAGCAATGTGAGCATGCTGTGGGTAAGCAATGTGAGCCTACCACCATGTCAGGTTCGACTCACTACCAACTCAGCTTCTGAGGTGACTCAAACCACAGATCGAATCAAAACACTTGCTCCTGCATAACTCCCCATGTTGCTTGTGTGTTGTTGTCTAGGTGGGCCACAGGGTCGGATTGAGCCTGAATCCACACCTCACATGCACCATTTTGAGTTGACTCAAATCACACCTCAGCTCTTAACAACACTCGCTGTTGGACAACTCACAATGCTGCTTGTGTGTCGTTCTCAACATGCGGCCACAGACGCGGGTTCACCTTGTCTCCGCGCCCCACCGACCTTGCATGCTTGGCCACAGGCGCGCCTCACCTTGTCTCCGCGCCCCACCGACCTTGCATGCTTGGCCACAGGCGCGCCTCACCTTGTCTCCGCGCCTCACACCATAGTCCCCTCCGTGCATCGACCCCGATTTGGCAGCAGCTAGCGCGACCAGCTCAGGTTCCTTCCACTCACTACCACCTCAGGCTCGACTCCTCACAACTCACGATGCTGCCTGTGTGTCGTTATCAAGGTGCGGCCACAGGCGTGGGTTAACCTTGTCTCCGCGCCTCACATGCACTGCATCGTAGTCCCCCCCATTCATCGACTGGGACATGGCAGCAGCCAGTGCCAGCAGCTGTGGGCGGAACGTCACCCCCTGATTATCGTGCTTGAAGGGCGTCCCTGGCAGCTGAAGGGAGCGGGGGAAGCATTGATGGGTGGAGGAAGCATTGGCTCTGCATCCTAGTCCCCTCCATTCATCCACTGGGACATGGAAATAGCTAGCGCCACCAGCTCCGGTCGATACGCCACCCCTTGATCATCGTGCTTCAAGGGCGTCCCTGGCAGCAGGAGGGGGTTGTGAAAACAAATGGCATGGCAGAGGGGCACTGTATGTAAGCAGGTGGTCTTCCCCTGCATTTCCCCCAAGCAGGTGGTCTTCCCCTGACATGTTGGTGCGCTTGGGGGAAATGTTGGTACAGAGGCGTAACACAAAGGCACCGCAAGCGTGTTGTCCCCTTCGTGCATTGACCGTGACATGGCAGCAGCCAGTGAGGCCAGCTCCGGGCGGAACGCAACCCCTTGCTCATGGGGCTTCAAGGGCGTCCCTGGCAGCGCGGAAGGGAGTGGGGAGCAGTTGATGTGTTGGGCAAGGATTGGGTGAGGGAGACATTGGCAAAGGCAGAGAGTCACTGTAAGCGTGTAGTTCCCCCCGGCATTGACTGGGACATGGCAGTCGCTGTGAGCAGCTCCAGGCGAAATTCAACCACTTGCTGATGGAGCTTGGAGGGGGTTCCTGGTAGCTGAAAGGGGTTGGTGGGTGGGGGAAGGGTTGGTCGGTAGGGGAGGATTGGTTAGTGGGGGGAGGATTATGACAGTAAGCATGCCAACCCTCCAGTGCATCGACCGGGACATGGCAGCAGCCAGTGCGAGCCACGCCTGTCGGAACCCAACCACTTGCTCGTGGAGCTCGGAGGGGGTTCCTGGTAGCTGAAGGGGGTGGGGGTCGGGGGGGAGTATTGGCACAGCGAGCACGTAGCCACCACTCCGCATGCATTTTGAGAACCACTTTTGAGATTTTTCAAAAGTGAGCACGGAGCTATACAAGGAGTACGAGGCGCTTTACAAGGAGTATGAGGCGCTAAACAAGGAGTATGAGGCGCTTTACAAGGAGTATGAGGCGCTACACAAGGAGTATGAGGCGCTTTACAAGGAGTATGATGAGCTACGCAAGGAGTATGAGGCACTACACAAGGAGTATGAGGCGCTACACAAGGAGTATGAGGCGCTACACAAGGAGTATGAGGCGCTACACAAGGAGTATGAGGCGCTACACAAGGAGTATGAGGCGCTACACAAGGAGTATGAGGCGCTACACAAGGAGTATGAGGCGCTACACAAGGAGTATGAGGCGCTACACAAGGAGTATGAGGCGCTACACAAGGAGTATGAGGCGCTATACAAGGAGTATGAGGCGCTTTACAAGGAGTATGAGGCGCTTTACAAGGAGTATGAGGCGCTTTACAAGGAGTATGATGAGCTACACAAAGAGTATCAGACAGAAACAGGGTGGGATACGAGCCGCGACTCACTTTGCACGTACTGTAGCCGTACGAAGTGTTACGTATGATCAGAGGTGTGACTGTATCGAGCGCCACTGTAGCAGTGCTAGCCGTTCGCTTCACCACTCGCACCCCAAACGGCGCCTCCCCAGCCGCTCTCTCCCTCCGCCACGCCAGTGCCTCCTCGAGAAAGCCTTGCAGGGGAGTGAAAGGCACTCTGGTAACGAGAAGGAAAGTCGGAGTGGGAAGAGGTGAAGAAAGAAACGGATAAGCACTCTTGCGAACAGGTGAAGGGCAAACTGCGAACCACACGCACTGCAAACGGCGCCTCCCCAGCCGCTCTCTCCCTCCCCCATACCAGTGCGTCCTCAAGAAAGCCTTGCAGGGGAGTGAAGGGCACTCTGGTAACACATGAGAAAGACCGAGAGCATGCGGAAGGGGGTAGCCAAGCGAGAAAATGAGTGTAAGGTGATTGAAGAAGGGTTTTGAGACGTCTCAAAACCCTTCTTCAATCACGCGGAAGGGGGTAGACAAGCGAGAAAATGAGTGCAATTAGAAACCGTGAAGACGGAAGAAGGGCAATATGACAACCACAACCAGTGAGGATGTGGAAGGGGATAGACGAGAGAGAAGCTGAGTTACTCTGCGGAGATACTTAGCGGACTTAATGTAATTAAACGTACTCAATTGACGAGAGGTCGATGTGCTCGTAAATAGCCTTGTACACGAATTTCCCGTTATTGTGCACTTGGTTAAGGCACACGCGCATGTCCAGCACCAACGTCCGGTTCAAAAACCGAGCCTCCTTGATTCGGCACGACAGGCTGGTCCGGAAATGCTTCACGCCCGCACACATGTCCCGGTTTCCCGTCACAAATAAATATTTCCGGTCAGGATGGAAATATTCCGCCCGGCTGACCGGAAGCCACTCCGTCTCCCACTTGACTTTATGGCCCACGTCCAGCTGTTGGATTACGAGAGGGTCATCCAGAGAACTAATCTTGGCCGTTGCTTTCTCGAGCGCCACGAGGCCCGTCGAGTTCCGCCTTCCGCGGCGCCATTGGCGGTCTCTTTTCTGTTTTTTAGATCCAGCCCGGTCGAGAGATAAGACCGGCTCCGCGTCGTTTCGAGCCTTCTTTTCGGGACCCACACGCTGGGAGGTTTGGGACTCGAGAGGTCTCATCTGCTCTGCATGGCCGTCAGATGAATCCAGATCCAACGGCTCTGAGACAAGACTGTTCCGAACACTGCCATCCAACGGCCCTGGGACGAGACTGTTCCTAGTCAAAGCACTGCCATCCAACAGCGCGAGCTTCAGATTGACGGCGTGACCTCGCGACGACGACGGCGACGACGACGACGACACGATCAGCGCCGCGAAACCCTGAGACGAGACGCTCGCCTTGCGCGACGGTCGATCCAACGCACCCAAACGAATCGGTCCTTCGGAATAGTACGACGGAGAGTCCACATCGGTTCCGCCTATAACGCGAATAAATTCCGGGGAAGCTTCTAGAGGCCATTGGACGACGAGGATAACAGCTACGGCGAGCAGCAGAGCGAATGCGATCGGCGCGATTCGCGCGTGGACGCGATTGGCGGCCGAGAAGGCGGAGAGGTCGAACAATGCATATAAAAAGCGCTGATTCGCGGCGTCGGATTGACCACTGGTCCCGCTAGTAGTAGTGTCGCGACATGGAAATAGGTTCAGGGAGATTTGCTGATGCGAATGCTGGCTAGACGTCGGTGACGCCTGTTGGGAAGCTGGCACGGCCGTGGGGATTAGCGGAGAGTTCGATGAGCTGGGGGGCTGGGAAGGCGACGGGGACGATTCAGCTATTTCCATGTTTTAACCGTTACGATAACTCGGTAAGACTGTCGTCACGAACAAGGTATTTGAGAGACCGAATTAATGAACAGACCGTGACGAGAACGAAGACTCATCTAAGTCGATTACCCTGAGTCATCACCTCTGAACGAGAGTGAGTGTTCGTCAGAACTGGTCCAAACTTGACTGAACGGGAAAGCTACACGTGGTAAACGCGGATGGTTTCAGGTAAATAAAGATGGAGCACGTTGTTTCATGGAGGTTGCGAGCATCAAATGCAGTTCTCTGGTGCTGATCACAACGATACAAAAAGCTGAGACATCCGTCACAGAGCGAAGAAGTGGAGAGCTCAAACATTCTCTCTGCACAGAACATAAAGGCTGTCCGTCGAAGACTTCTAGGCATTTATCTGATATGCGATTGCGGGCTGTTGAAGGTCGTCTTATCAGCACAGTACCGCAGGACAGAATAAGCAGGAATTGTGTGGGCAGCAGTGGAGGTTCAGAGGAGGTAGGGAAATGTGAAAGTTGGGTCTGTGGGAGTGTCCGAGGCTAGCAGGAAGCAGGTCACCTTGAAGTTGGTTTGATTTGAATCAACGAGCCCAGCCACGCGGCCGCGCGAACTACTGTAAAGGAACTCGCGCCGCAACTGTCTAGCATGTCAGAAAATAATCTGACACCACTCGTTATTGAGTGGCAGATAAGCCTCGAGCGACGCGTGTCGGGCAGACTTCAAAATTCACACGAATTCGGACAATCAAAACAGGAGCTTGAAAGAATTTCCTCCATGAAACAACTCGACAAAACAACGAATAGCACACACCCAAAACTACCAATAGACTCGATAAAACATTGAAAAGCACCCAAACTCCCAATTAACTTTGTCTACACATGAAGCAAAATAACCACTATTCCTCCCTATTGCTGGCCATCTCATGCAGCTATTGCAGCGTTGAGCAGAGCATTGTTAACATCCTGGCTCAGTGCCCAGACGAACCACCCTCCATAGCCTTGCGTCTTGGCAAACTGGACCTTCTTGGTGATGGTGGAAGGGTTGTCATAACCAACCCACTGGTTACCCTTCCACGCATACATGCATGAGGATGGGGTGTGGGATGTAGCCGTGTAACCACCAGTGGTTACCAGCTGATAGATCTCCTTGTAGAAAAGGACACCGGCCTCCTGTTGGTGGGATGGAGAGGGAAAATGCAGGCAAAAAAAAAGATGATAAGGCCTTGGAGAAAGCTACGGATATTTCAGTCGAAAAGCGCGAGAGGAGGGAAAGCAAAAAACAAACAAACAACAATGCAGAAGGCTGGTAAATCATGCGACAGGGAGAGGAATCACGATGCAGAGTGGAAACAGGAATGGGGAGCTAACCTGACTGATGGACCCTTTCAGACCAGCCCCACTGGCCGAAGCTCCAACCCCAGTGCTTGTTGAGCTTAAAGTCCAGGTTCGGCCGTACATCGCCAAGCCTACCATGGCCTTGCTTCGGGCCAAGCCTCGAGACACCCAGGCATCCATGGAAGCATTGACGCTCAGCTTCGAGCTCAGGTCCTGCAGAGCAGTGTGCATGCCGGTCTTTGCCTCCCACGACCCGTGCAAATCGTAAGTCATAACATTAACAAAGTCCAGCATCTTGTTAACCGTCGTCACGTTGTAGGATTGAATGATTCTCGCCTCGTCGGGAGCAACCGCCGCAGTAAGCAGGAGCTTAGGTTTCCCAGACGAAACGGCTTCGGATTCGATCGCCGCCCGGAAATCCGTGACCAGTGCCGAGAAAAGAGCTGCCTTGCCAACCGGGTACTCCCAGTCGACATCCAGACCGTCAAAGAAGTACGTGCGGGCGAGGGCGATTGCGGATTGGATGAAAGCAGAGCGGGTGGCGGCAGAGGAGGCGACGTTGCCGAAAACGGTGGTGTTAGCCGAGGCGCCCCCAATGGAGAGAAGGGTTTTAATGGCAGGGTTGAGAGTTTTAAGAGTAGTGTTGAAGCGCTGATAGAGGCCTCCAGTGACGTCCACTGCTGTGTTGGGGACGACCTGTGATAGGAGAGAGAGGAGGGACGGAATATTGGGTAGGGAAAGGGCTGAGGCTGCAGAGCGATTGGGAAGCCCAGGCGCTGGATTGATGGAGGGCAAGCAATATGGTACCAGTCTGAGATGGCAGGGGGGACGGAAGAGGAACGGAAGAGGAACGGAAGAGGAATGGAAGAGGAATGTCAAAGCACCTGCAGCAGATGGCACGGAGAAGTGTGTGCATGGCAAGACAGCGCGGCGCAGTGCGGTAGCTACCTTGTAAGTGGTGGGGTTGATGGAAGCAAAGGCGTAGAAGACATGCGTGAGGTTGGCAGCAGGGATGAGGGATGGATCCATGTTCGCCCAGTTGACAAAATACGCCATGCGCTTCAGCGGCACCGTTGAGGGCGGAGGGGAGGCGGTCGGGGGCGGAGGAGAGGCGGTTGGGGGCGGAGGGGAGGCGGTTAAGGGAGGCGGGGAGCACTGGGAGAGGCAGCCAGCGCCGCAGTGATCAACGGTGGAGCCACAAAAGTTCCACTTGCTGCAGCAGAGGTTGTTGGGGCAAAGAACCGTGGCGGAGCACTCCCCCTGCGCGCGCACGCGGAGGGGGAGGTGCGCGGACGAGAGCAGCAGCAGCAGCGCCGCGAGCAGGAAGGCTCCTCCGCGGAGGACGAGGAGCGTGGGACGCGGCGCTAGGATCGCCATGGCTGCCAGACAGAGGGCGGGTTCAACTCAAGCTGAGACTGCGGCGGCTGAGGTGAGTCACCTTGATGATTGCGCCGGATGAAGAGCGAAGGGGAGGGATGAGTTATAATGAAGAGGCCGCTACAATTTTTATAGTGTCTGAGAGATGCGGAGGGGGACTGGCGGGATCGCGGGGGACTGGCGGGTTGGCGGGGGACTGGCGGGTTGACGGGGAGACATCGTGGGAACACGCACGTTGGCTTGAAGTGCGCGCAGAAGTCTCACGTCGAAAATTCGAAGTCTCGTTGGCGTCCGGCTAAGGCGGCGTGGCGCTTGCCAAGTCACGGTGTGACTTGCTACTACAGACGTGTGAAGAAGACTACATGTCGGAAATGCAGTAGACCGTAGGCAGCAGCAGCTACTACGGCTACGGCACCTGCCAGGTGCGCGACCGACGCATCCGCTCGATAAGAGTAATGCAACACTCAAAATATTACCACTCCAACACGAAATACACGCCTCAAGATCGAGTTTCACGCGCCTACTACGCCACCTGCGCGACCGACGCAGCTAGCAACGGCACCTGCGTGCGGGACGCAGTATTAGCTGGGGCACCTGCGCGTCCGACGCAGCTACGAGCACCGCACATCTCGCCTGGACGACGTGAAGGGGGATAAAACTACAGGCGGGACGAAATTTCCGTGGACGACGTTCCATGGATCGTCATCCATGGCTATGGGTAGATTCGTGAATGGAACATTGGAACATTCGTGGACGATGTTCCATTGACGAATCTACCGGTAGCCATGGATGTCGCGAGGAAGGCGGTTAAATATGAGACAATCATTGCTGAAAGGAACGCGGCGGTATAGTTGTTCTCGCGGACGTCGCTCTTCCTCCTCACGGTTACATATTTACTCCAACGGGAGTCCAAAGAGTCGGCTACATCGGCTCGCAATGGTGGTCCGACTTTATCCATGGTCGAGAAACTACGCACAGCGCAAGCGTCCCAAGTTCCCAACCCTAGGAATTGTCGAGAAAACCACTGTCTGTTAGTGTTTTGGTAAAGTCGAGGGAATGCCGAAGTGATGTACAGGAAGGAATGTATTTTCAGCTCAGAGATGGCGGTTGAGAGCGATTCTGAAGAAAACAAAACGGTTCAAATGCGGAGGAAGGAGATGTCATTTCAGCATGAAACAAACTGAACTGGACTGGATGGGACAAACAGGCGTGCAGTGCAGTGGGTATTCCTGGTTCATGCTCTGGGTCTCGTGACTCGCATTATCACATAGTACTGTATCGGTGTTATGTGATCACGCAGAGTGATTGGTTCAGGCCAGTTTCGGGCGCTACAGAACAGTAGGCCGCCCATTCGCGAGAGAGTTACCCTACACGAATCATCTATCTTGAAATAGGTATACTGCCCGAAAAGTAGGCCTAGGCTCGTCTAGACCTCGTCTAGGCCTAAGCAGCCACTGCGCGGCGCAATGGCGGCTCTCACTCCCTCCGTTCTTCCCTATCCCACGCTTCTCTTTCCCTGGCTCTCCGATAGTAGCCATCAGGCAGCAAATACCACTACCGTCGGCAGTCTGCCAGAAGCAGCGTCATTGTCGACATTGTTGTCGCCTCCCGATTCCCACGATGGCACCAGAGGTTTCACCTCCTTGCTTTCCCTCCATCCATCCACCACTAGTAATGTCACTTCCTTCCTCACCGCCGCGTCGTCCGCCGCGAACTCCGGGGCCAATTTCTCCGCAAACGCCGCGGTGGCCGCGATCGACGCCGTCTCGCGCGGCAATTTCTCCGAACCTTACTACTCAGCCGCCGCATTCTCTCCCATTCCATCCGTCTCCACGGCAATTCTCGGCCCGTCCGCCGCGCCGCCGCCGGCGCCGCCTCCGCAATTCGTAGATTCGTTCTGCAAGCCGCAGTTTAACGGATCGTGGGAGTCAATCACGAACGAGCTAGGCGCTTTCACGCCCTGCTTCATCGACATTGTCGTACTCGGTACAGCGTACCTCGCTATGATTCTTCTAGCCGTGCTGCGGCTGTACGTTCTCTACACCACCCCCCGCGCGCAGCAGCGGGCGGTTGCGCCAGGGTGGCGCGGGGAGCGGGGGATCGTGGCGGCTGCTGCGCTGGCGCTGACGTGTGCGGTGGTCCCGCTGATGCAGCTGAGCGCTCGCGTGTCACTGAGCTCCTTCTCTACAGATGCGGATTTACCGCCTTATGAGGTGAGTCACAGCTTACGTGGCACAGTGACTTTGGAGTTGACTCAAAAGGCAGCTGAACGCTCGTGTGTCCTGGAGCTCCTTCTCTACAGATGAGGGATTGCCTCCTTATGAGGTAATTGCCGTATATGCTTGACTTTTCCAATGCATTAAGCATCTCGATTTCTCACTTCCTGTCTGCCCTGTAATTCTCTTGGCCCCTGCTGAAACCCTAGCTTCTGCGGTTCTTTTCTGGGAGCTGCTGGCTCTGAGGCGATGCAAGCACCCAGTTGTGAGATCTGAGGCGGTGCAAGCACACATCGTTTCGTTTTCTTTTCCGAATTCAACGCCTTCGTGCTCCTCCCTCGCCTGGAGCCTCACGTCACATCAGCTGCTCACTTGTGGGAGTGGCGGCGCATTGCGGTCAGGGCGCGTGGGTGCCATGCTGTTTAACTCGCTGGTTTCCTCTGCTGCCCCCTTTCATCCCATGCTCTTCCCTAGGTCTGCTCCTTGATCCTCGCGTTCCTCGCCTGGGCGCTCACAGCAACGGCTCTCTTCTGGGAGCGCAAGCGCATGGCAGTGAAGGGCGCATGGCTGCTGCGGTTTGCAGTGCTCTATGTGATGGTGGGGCAGCTGGCGAAGCTGAGATTCGTGCTCATTCTGCAGCAGGACTTCCAGGCGTGAGTGCTTTGTATGGAACGGAGTGCCCTGGCAGCTGACCACGCTGACATCTGGGCTCCCATCTTGCAGGGCGATTTCTGGGCGTGAATGCGCTCTGGTAGTGTCACATTGTGATTGTAACGGGGCAATTGACTGTTGGCAGGTGCATTGCTGCTCCTGACATTCACCACGAGTTTGGGAGTAGTTGCCCACTTTTCAGGCGCCGCAAAAGGGTGAATAGCTGCTGTGCTGTGCTGCTGACACTCACCACGAGTTTGGGAATGGTTGCCCAAAAATTCCGAGTTATGGCAAGTGGTGATTGTGGATGTGGGCTTGTTGTTGAGAGGCGAGAATCCTCCGAACCAGTCCACTCATTCATTGCTTTCCGTCTATTGTATCCCCTTAACAATTGGTGGCTGAACCCAGATTCTTCCCCTTTACGCGTTTGCATGCTTTCCGTCCTTCCCAGTTTCTTTGTGGAGCTATTCTTTGGCTACACATCAGCCCATGTAAGTGTTAATGGCAACTCTTGTGCAACAGATGTGCAACAGAGAGAGAGACTTTACTTGGATAAAGTCCCTCCTCCAATCACTCTTTCAGCTGACACAATTGTTTTTCTCTTTCTCCTCCTTTACCCACCGCTCCGAGCCGAGCCCCCACCGCCACTTTTCACCCCCCCTCCCCCTTCCCTTCCATCTCCATTGTTCGTAAGTTCGCCTGGAATGCTTCAGGTCTTTTTAGTCATGTTGGCCCACTTTTTCTTCCTCTGCTTCTTCTTCCTCTCCTTTGTCGTCATTATTCCTCCCTCTCGTTCCTCCCCCCTCCTTCCGCTCCCCTTTCAACCTCGCTTGCTGAATCCCTTCATCCCTTGCCTTTCCTCCTCCACCCTCTCTCTCTCTCTCTCACATTCCCTCCTCCCCCCTCCTCTTGTACCCCCCTTCGTTCCCCCTTGTTCCCTCTTGTTCACCCCAGGTGCTCCTAGGCCTGCTCACGCTCTTCTTCTTCCCCAACCTGCTCCTTAAGAGCACCCTTCGCCAGGCTTATTCTCCTCTTCCGCTCTCTCTCCTTCCCTTGCGCCCACTTTGTACCTCCCTTCTTCCCGTTTCTTCCCCCTTCTTGCACCCCCAGGTGCTCCTAGGCTTGCTAGCGCTCTTGTTCTTCCCCAACCTGCTCCCCCAAGAGCACCCTTCGCCAGGCCTCTCCTCCTCCTCCGCCCTCGCAGCCGCAGAGGCAGAGGCAGCACCACTCTTGCCACCTGCAGCAGCAGCAGCAGCAGGGGCAGCAGGGAGTGGTGGTGGTGCGGGGTATGTGCCTTTGGCTGCAGGGCCTGTGGGTGGGGCGGAAGGAGAAGCAGCGGAGGAGGAAGGAGATAACCAGGGGCAGGTGTGCCCTGAAGACCACACCAGCTTCATTAACCGTACTGTTAGCTCTCACCTGTTCCTTAAACCCCACCGCTGTACCTTACACCTTAAATCCCAAAAAGTGCACTTGTGGCACCTCAGCTTAAACCCGAGCTTCGTCAGCCATGACCTCTGATCTGATCTGATGCTGCACTTGTGGCACCTCTTATCTGATGCTGCACTTGTGGCACCTCTTATCTGAGCCCTAAACCTCACATTCGTTTACCTTACATGTTAAACCTGAAGAAGAAGAGGGTGCTGTTGAGTTGAGCTGTACCCGAGCTTCTCCGAGCCGGCACCCTTCTCCTTCCCTAGGAGGAGTGACTTGACTGGCCTGGCCCCATGGATGGATCATGGAACCATCTTGCAGCATCTTAACTGGTCCCACTTCCACCCTTCCCCTTTTGAGGCGCCTCAATAGTGCAGCATCTTGATTGGTCCCATTTCCCCCGTTTCCCCATTCCCTCTCCCCCCTAGGTCTGACGTTTGGCTGTATGACGCCTCTCATAACCACGGATACCGCATTTTGATATGTCTCAACCCCTCCGACCCCCCTCCTCCTGATAGTTCTGATGTTTGGGCGGATTGGACTGACCTCTCATGGCCATGGGGTGCCACGTTTCGAGATGTCTCAACTCCCCCCTCCCTCCTCCTCCCTGTCCCTCCCTCCTCCCCCCCAGGTCTGACGTTTGGGTGGATGACGCCTCTCATGGCTACGGGGTACCGGCGCCCGTTGGAGGACAGCGATGTGTGGCGCCTGAATGATGGCGACCGCACTGCCACGGTGTATGGCAGGTGAGCGTGTGTGTGGGTTGAGTGTGCGTGGTTCTATCTATGAGCCTATGGGTGGGTCTGTGAGGCATGAGTCATACCGATTGCGCGTTGAAGCACTGCGATGTGTGGCGGCTGAACGATGGCGACCGCACTGCCACGGTGTATGGCAGGTGTGTGTGTGTGTGTGCGCGCGCGCGCGCGCGCGCGTGTGTGTGTCGATCTGTGTGTCTAAGAGTCCATGGGTCTATGGGTGTGTGGGACATGAGTGGGACCAATTGCCCATTGAAGCACAGCGATGTGTGGCCTCTGAATGATGGCGACCGCACTGCCAAGGTGTATGTATGGCAGGTGAGCGTGTGTGTGTGAGTCTGCGACCTGTCTCTGACACATAACAGACACATGGATGGCGCACCGTGTTTTTTGAGAATTCTCAAAAAACACGCTCCATAACAGACACATGGATGGCGCACCCACCAAGTGTTGTCCATGGAGGCAGAAATGTGTGGCGGCTGAGCTGAGCGATGACAGCTGATTCTGGTCAGCCGCCACACATCGATGGCAACCGATTCTGGTCAGCCGCCACACATCGATGGCAACCGATTCTGGTCAGCCGCCACACATCGATGACAGCTGATTCTGTTCTTCGCTCACCTCCACCCCACCCATCCCCCCAGCAGTTAGAGCGTGAGTGGAGGGAGGAAAAGGGGTGCCCTAAGGCCACGGATGCCCTGATTTGCCCATGCGGACACTCTCGCAAATCTTCTTTTTTTGAGTCGACTCAAAAGTCTAAGGCCATGACTGCCCTAATGTGCTTTTGAGGCGCCTCAGAAGCCCTGGTGCCATGACTGCCCTGATTTTCCCATACGGACACTCTCGCAAATATTCTCGACTCGCCTCTCCACTCCGCTTTTCTCTTGCCTCTCCGCTTGGCTTTTTTCTCGCCTCCGCACAATCCCGGCAGGTTTGAGCGCGTGTGGAGGGAGGAGAAGGGGCGCCCCAAGCCGTGGCTGCTGCGTGCCCTGCACTCCTGCTTTGGCCGCCGGTGAGGGGAGAGGATGTGTGGGAGGGATGGGAGGGATGGGAGGGAGGGAGGGATGGGAGGGAGAGACGGATTGGAGGGAGGAGAGGGATGGGAGGTATGGGAGGGGAGGCGAAAAAAGTGTCATCGGGCTTTAATTCGTTTCAATACTTGTGGTCACCTACACATGCACCACGCATATACCACTTGTTGTAGAAAAACATCTGTGTGACAATGTATAATCAAAAGTCAGCCCATACTTGTGGTCGCCTACACATGCACCACACATATATACCATCTCACAACTCCTTCATCGTGTTTTGATTTGTTTGTTTCAATACCTGTGGTCGCTTACACATGCACCACACATATGCCATCTCACCACCCCTTCCCTTCGCCCACCCCCTTGTTCTGCCTTCCCGTCCCTGTGTTCTTCCCTATTCTTCCCTATTCTTCCCTATTCTTCCCCGACCTTTCATCACTAACAGGTTCTGGTGGGGTGGTTTCTGCAAGGTATGCTTCCCTCTTCCCACTTGTATGCTAGTTTGGCCTTTCAACCTGCGTGGAAAGGGAGAGCTGCATTCTACATGCTGACCAGTGCACTCTCATTTCATGCCTGTCCAAAATCGGTTCAACTTGTGAGGCGCCTCAAAAGTGGAAAGGGAGAGCTGCACGCTACATTCTGACCAGTCACCAGTGCACTCTCATCTCATGCCCGTTCAAAATTGGTTCAACTTGTGAGGCGCCTCAAAAGTGGAAAGGGAGAGCTGCACTCATGCCGACCAGTCACCAGTGCACTCTCATCTCATGCCTGTCCAAAATTGGTTCAACTTGTGAGGCGCCTCAAAAGTGGAAAGGGAGAGTTGCATGCTACATGCTGACCAGTCACCAGTGCACTCTCATCTCATGCCTGCCCAGTTGATTCTTCTCAAGTTTTGAGACGTCTCAATACTCAACCTGCGTGGAAAGGGAGAGTTGCATTTTACATGCTGACCATTGCACTCACATGCCTCTCCCTCAAGTTGTTTCGTGTCAAGAACACCCACCCGCCCTCCCTTTGTGGGTGCCCCAGCGTGTATCTTAAGGGCGTATCCCAGCCAAGTGTCAAGAGGGCTAGTGTCATGACACCAACTCATTCTCGCACGTCAATTTGTCCAAAAATGACAACATGCCAATTGCATGGGTTCCCGCCTCCTGAGGTTGACACCAACTCATTCTTGACACTAGCCTGGGATACGCCCTAAGCCATAATTCCACCATTCCATGCCATCCTATTCCATCCCATGCCATCCTCTACATGCCATCACATCCCATGCCATCACATACCATGCCATCACATCCCATGCCATCGCATCCCATTCCATCACATCCCATGCCATCACATGGCATTCCATCACATCCCATGCCATCACATCCCATGCCATCACATCCCATGCCATCACATCCCATGCCATCACATCCCATGCCATCGCATCCCATTCCATCACATCCCATGCCATCACATGGCATTCCATCACATCCCATGCCATCACATCCCATGCCATCACATCCCATGCCATCACATCCCATGCCATCACATCCCATGCCATCACATCCCATGCCATCACATCCCATGCCATCACATCCCATGCCATCACATCCCATGCCATCACATCCCATGCCATCACATCCCATGCCATCACATCCCATGCCATCACATGGCATGCCATCACATGGCATGCCATCACATCCCATGCCATCACATACCATGCCATCACATCCCATGCCATCGCATCCCATTCCATCACATCCCATGCCATCACATGGCATTCCATCACATCCCATGCCATCACATCCCATGCCATCACATCCCATGCCATCACATCCCATGCCATCACATCCCATGCCATCGCATCCCATTCCATCACATCCCATGCCATCACATCCCATTCCATCACATCCCATGCCATCACATCCCATGCCATCACATCCCATGCCATCACATCCCATGCCATCACATCCCATGCCATCACATCCCATGCCATCACATCCCATGCCATCACATCCCATGCCATCACATCCCATGCCATCACATCCCATGCCATCACATCCCATGCCATCACATCCCATGCCATCACATCCCATGCCATCACATCCCATGCCATCACATCCCATGCCATCACATCCCATGCCATCACATCCCATGCCATCACATCCCATGCCATCACATCCCATGCCATCACATCCCATGCCATCACATCCCATGCCATCACATCCCATGCCATCACATCCCATGCCATCACATCCCATGCCATCACATCCCATGCCATCACATCCATGCCATCACATCCCATGCCATCACATCCCATGCCATCACATCCCATGCCATCACATCCCATGCCATCACATCCCATGCCATCACATCCCATGCCATCACATCCCATGCCATCACATCCCATGCCATCACATCCCATGCCATCACATCCCATGCCATCACATCCCATGCCATCACATCCCATGCCATCACATCCCATGCCATCACATCCCATGCCATCACATCCCATGCCATCACATCCATGCCATCACATCCCATGCCATCACATCCCATGCCATCACATCCCATGCCATCACATCCCATGCATCCATCCCATCACATCCATGCCATCACATCCCATGCCATCACATCCCATGCCATCACATCCCATGCCATCACATTGCATTCCATCACATCCCATGCCATCACATCCCATGCCATCACATCCCATGCCATCACATCCCATGCCATCACATCCCATGCCATCACATCCCATGCCATCACATCCCATGCCATCACATCCCATGCCATCACATCCCATGCCATCACATCCCATGCCATCACATCCCATGCCATCACATCCATGCCATCCCATGCCATCACATCCATTCCATCACATCCCATGCCATCACATCCCATTCCATCACATCCCATGCCATCACATCCCATGCCATCACATCCCATGCCATCACATCCCATGCCATCACATCCCATGCCATCACATCCCATGCCATCACATCCCATGCCATCACATCCCATGCCATCACATCCCATGCCATCACATCCCATGCCATCACATCCCATGCCATCACATCCCATGCCATCACATCCCATGCCATCACATCCCATGCCATCACATCCCATGCCATCACATCCCATGCCATCACATCCCATGCCATCACATCCCATTTCCCATGCCATCACATCCCATGCCATCACATGGCATTCCATCACATCCCATGCCATCACATCCCATGCCATCACATCCCATGCCATCACATCCCATGCCATCACATCCCATGCCATCACATCCCATGCCATCACATCCCATGCCATCACATCCCATGCCATCACATCCCATGCCATCACATCCCATGCCATCACATCCCATGCCATCACATCCCATGCCATCACATCCCATGCCATCACATCCCATGCCATCACATCCCATGCCATCACATCCCATGCCATCACATCCCATGCCATCACATCCCATGCCATCACATCCCATGCCATCACATCCCATGCCATCACATCCCATGCCATCACATCCCATGCCATCACATCCCATGCCATCACATCCCATGCCATCACATCCCATGCCATCACATCCCATGCCATCACATCCCATGCCATCACATCCCATGCCATCACATCCCATGCCATCACATCCCATGCCATCACATCCCATGCCATCACATCCATGCCATCCCAGCCATCACATCCCATGCCATCACATCCCATGCCATCACATCCCAATGCCATCAGCATCCATGCCATCACATCCATGCATCACATCCCATGCCATCACATCCCATGCCATCACATCCCATGCCATCACATCCCATGCCATCAACATCCATGCCATCACATCCCATGCCATCACATCCCAATGCCATCACATCCCATGCCATCACATCCCATGCCATCACATCCATGCCATCACATCCCATGCCATCACATCCCATGCCATCACATCCCATGCCATCACATCCCATGCCATCACATCCCATGCCATCACATCCCATGCCATCACATCCCATGCCATCACATCCCATGCCATCACATCCCATGCCATCACATCCCATGCCATCACATCCCATGCCATCACATCCCATGCCAATCACATCCCATGCCATCACATCCCATGCCATCACATCCCATGCCATCACATCCCATGCCATCACATCCCATGCCATCCACATCCCATGCCATCACATCCCATGCCATCACATCCCATGCCATCACATCCCATGCCATCACATCCCATGCCATCACATCCCATGCCATCATCCATGCCATCACATCCCATGCCATCACATCCCATGCCATCACATCCCATGCCATCACATCCCATGCCATCACATGCATTCCATCACATCCCATGCCATCACATCCCATGCCATCACATCCCATGCCATCACATCCCATGCCATCACATCCCATGCCATCACATCCCATGCCATCACATCCCATGCCATCACATCCCATGCCATCACATCCCATGCCATCACATCCCATGCCATCACATCCCATGCCATCACATCCCATGCCATCACATCCCATGCCATCACATCCCATGCCATCACATCCCATGCCATCACATCCCATGCCATCACATCCCATGCCATCACATCCATGCCATCACATCCCATGCCATCACATCCCATGCCATCACATCCCATGCCATCACATCCCATGCCATCACATCCCATGCCATCACATCCCATGCCATCACATCCCATGCCATCACATCCCATGCCATCCACATCCCATGCCATCACATCCCATGCCATCACATCCCATGCCATCACATCCCATGCCATCACATCCCATGCCATCACATCCCATGCCATCACATCCCATGCCATCACATCCCATGCCATCACATCCCATGCCATCACATCCCATGCCATCACATCCCATGCCATCACATCCCATGCCATCACATCCCATGCCATCACATCCCATGCCATCACATCCCATGCCATCACATCCCATGCCATCACATCCCATGCCATCACATCCCATGCCATCACATCCCATGCCATCACATCCCATGCCATCACATCCCATGCCATCACATCCCATGCCATCACATCCCATGCCATCACATCCCATGCCATCACATCCCATGCCATCACA